TTATAATTAATTCACTCATTCTAAACCAATGAAAATCAACCCCACATTCTCCTCTACACACAAAACATGTGACATTCTCACTATTGGACAAGCAGTTCACACAGACAGGTTGTTAGCACGTGCATCAACAAAAATTTCATCTTTTCCTTTTTCAGGCCATAACAGTAACATTTATCTTTTAGCAATCAACAAAAATTTGAGGTAAGAAAAACCCAGACTTCTTGTATTTTCTAACTAAATTATCTGGGCACTCATTGCACACATCTATAAAAAAAATCATACAAGAAAGACTTGTGGTGAAAATGAAGGTTAAAATTCAAAACACTGTGTAAATTTATGAACAGAATTGAGTTACTTCCTTTTGGGATTAGAGTTACCCTAGTATTTTTGGCATTTGTTTTAAGCTATTATATGAAAATTTTTAAAAATTACACAAAAAAGACCACATTTGTCTTTTATGCAAAATGTAAATTTTTAACTCCCTACCAAATATAAATTCTTGTGCTAAACACAAAACCTAGTTAGTAAGAATAGAAAGAGAAAAGAGAACACAAGCTTCTCTTTTCCTTGAGGCCAAAATAGATGCAAATACAAAATAAGACTCAACCACTGTACAAAATTTTAAAGTAAAAACATTTAATACACAAGTACAGGTAAAAAAAGGGCTAGATACAAAATATGCACAGAAATTTTCTTTTGTATGCCTATTAAGGCAGGATAACAAATTCCAGATGGTTTAAAAAAGGATTACTGTCAAAAAAGAAGTTACAGTTTAGTTTAGAAAAAGACATGGATTCAATGACAAAAAGATTAAACTCTTTAAAAATGATAAAAAATGGAAGAACTTTGAGGAAGTAAAAAAATTGCACAGGCAGAAAAGACAAAGTGCATTGACATAAGTTCTTCAACTGAATACTGAATAGAAATGTCTCAGCCCAAAGTGGTTTCATGCTTTCCACAGGTTGCTGTCTCAAGGGCATTATGGAAAGTTAAACTTGAGTGTTTGTTTCATTTAAACTCTTAAGAAGACACAGAAAAGAATTTGCAGTCCTGGGGGTTGAATCTGTCTATAGCTGTTGGCTCTTCTTTCTTTCCCCATGTTGATTTATGACTCCTTCAGCCTGACTAATCCTCTGCCCTTGAAGCGCAGATGCTAATGCTCCCTCTTTGATGGTTAATTGTTTTCTAAGGGAATCCACTGACAACAGTCCTTTTTATTGAATAATGAATGGTCACACCAGCTCCATCCAGGTTTTCACAATGGCTTGAGAGCACATCTCCCATTGGTCAGTGAATATAAAAACTTATTTCTCCATAAATTCAAATAATTCATAAATAATTTTGGTGGTTCTTTAACTGCTAATTCTAAAATGAATTTCCATACAACTACAACAATTTATTTTTGCAACCCATCTGGCTTTTTAAACCTTTCTCAAGGTTAAAAAGGAAATAACCTCAGCTATTTATCATTATTTACTACACTAAAGACTAAGTTATAAAAGATAAAATTTTTATAATTAAATGCACATTGTGCCTTGGCATTTAGTTAAACACTAGTAACTTTGAGCCAGTAAAATTATTATTGTAGTAATGCTTCAGTTTCAAAAACTGAAATTTACTTTTACTATGCACAAATTTCTAAGATATTATTTTAAAGTTAAGTTTACTTTTAACTCAAAATGTTTAAATTTTTATTTCAAAAGTTGAGTCTTATTTCTAAAATTTTCTGATTTAGTTTTTAAAATTAAATCCATACTTAAAATTTATTTTCAAAGCCAAATTAACACAATTTTTTATGATTTTATCTTTAAAGTTAAATTTACACTTAACTGAAAATTTTGGTTTTGTTTAAAAAATTTTCTATTTAGTTTTTACTATACATATATTTTTAAAGAATTGCTATTGAACCAGGACAGTTAATATTTCCCTCTAAATTTTGCAAAGCAGAGTCTTGTTTAAATAGACACAAATTTACTTCTTTGTGTTCAGAAATTATTTTGGGCAAAATAAAGAGATATTTGGAGGGAGAGGAGGTGGAGGAGAAGAGGAAACATTAAATCTCTTAGTATTATGAAAGGTGTGAATGACAAAAAACAAAACTCTTACTCCAGTGTGACATTTAAAAGAAATTTACATTTATTAAATGTTATAAAAAATAATAATAGCAAAGAATATAGAATTTACAAAACCAGTGTACACAAAATTTTCCTTTTGCAGCCTAACACTTAGGCAAGATAATTACAACTCTGTTGGGATCAAAAAAACAATTAAAATTATTGTCAACAAAATGTTCACTTACTTTGATTCATTTGACTATTGGAAGGAGTTGAGAAGGTTGATTATTCACAAACTGACACTCTGGTTTCTTTTAGACAAAAGTTCAGTTTTACAAACTGAGATGAGATAAATCGCATATATTCATAAAAAGTCCAAAATCAGTGTCAATGCCTCTAATTTTGTGACAAACTTTCACAAGCAACTATAGAAAGATAACCATATACAGGGTGGCTGAAAGTCTTGTCACCCTCTAACAAAAAGTAATGAAGTAATGAAAACAATAGAAGAACAAGTATTACAAAGCATATGTACTCGATTCAGTTTATTCACTTTCATTGATGCAGTCATGCATCAAGAAAGTCTGGATGAACACCATCATTTTTGTGGCACAAAATGATGCAACACAATCTCCAGTATGATATTTTACAAAGCTGTGCTTTGTTGATTGCTGCAATGGCTCTTTGAATGACATCCTTCAACTGATATGTATTCTGGTATTGCTCATGTAAAACTCTCTCCTTGATAATACACCCCAGTGAGTGAAATAAAGGGTTCAGTTCAACATTCCAACCACCTGAAGAAGGACAGAGTGTACAATGGCCGAAACGTAATAAATTTTGTGACAAAGATGAGGACAATAGTCTGAATAATGTAAATAGTGTACATAATACCTCATCTCAGAAATAAAGACAGATACCACAGAATCTTTATTTTTTTGATTGGTTAAGAAAAATCACAAAATGTATGTCTGTTCGTAAACTTTATTTTGGAAGGTTTTCAGACCATAAGACTTGAGCTTCTTTTTTAACAAAATTTGAAAATCAAATTTTATACATGTATTTTTTTTTATAAATCATCAGTCTTCTTTTTAGTGATATTTTTATAACATCAATTTGAGCCTCACATATACAAAGTTGTACACATCAAATTTTATTCAAGTCATTTTTTGATAAATGTCTTTTAAATACTCCCCTCAAAATTTTTTTAATTTATCCATTAATTATATTTTATATAATTTTATATTTCTTTTTCATTATATAAATTTTTATAACATCATTGCATAATTTTTACAAATTCCAAACCTGTTAGCCTTAAAAAATTTTATAAACAAAATGTTTCTTAAAAGATCAATTTTTCTTTCTTAAAACAACAAAAGTAGAATAATTTTTTTAATTTTTATCATCTTCTGAGAATGTGATTTTCTAATTTGATAGATAGACTTTAAAGAGAAGAATGATCATTTTAAACTGAAATAAATTACACCAAGAACAGTGTAAAAACATGCAAGTGACATTTTTCCTTGGATCTTATAGGAAAAAAAAGATGATGAAAATATTCTTAAACATTTTAACAAATTTATTTCAAATGTTGATGCATGTACTAAATTCTAACATCTGGAAGGAATTGATGGGTTTCACAAAATTCAAATTATAATTATACAAAGTCTTTTAAGTTGCTTGTAAAATATTTGGCTCAAGCCATTGATTAACAGTATCTTCTGGGGAAAATCAAGATGTTTATTTATTCAATATGATTTCTAACAAATAACATTCTCTTGACAAAAACCACTACCTTTGTTATTCATTTACACTACATATGAACATTTTCCCCAGATTTCAATGCCCCAATATACGTATATACGGGAATTAACGGAAAATGTCGGAGTTAGCCGAATTTTATTTTGCAATTTATGTAAATTGTTTATAAACGCAAATACTGTATGAATAATACATAGAAATAGTTTACAAAAATATTGTTGCAATTATTGTAAATATATATATTGCACTTTATGGGAGCAAAAGCTATACGTGTAAAAAAAAAAATCAAATAAGATTAATCCGCTAAGAATTTTGCATGTATTACATGCAAAATTCTTAGCATTAAAAGCAGCAGATTTTTGTTAAATATTATTAAATTTGTCAATTTGCATTGCACATAACCCCAATTTTCATTTAATCAGTTTTTCTTATTTATATTTTTTTAATGAGAGATCTTCGTCAATTTTCGGCAGATACTATTACCGTTCGTAAAAATCAACATACATCGGAAACATTAAGAATTATTAAAAAATATATTTTATTAGAAAATTGTAAGATATTGTATATAACTTTCTACAAAATTTTATTGAATCAAATACCTTTTTTTAAAAAAGTAAATTATTCGTTTTTCGTGTATGATCGACAGTAACCGAGTTGTGAGGAAAGGCAAGGTCTGGTTGGTGTCATGGCGCAGGCCCAGTCGGCTAAGATTCTTTGTTGTGCCCCAGAAAAGGAAGGAGGAGCAGTTGACACCAAACGACAACAAAAAACAATTGCATCTGCTCTGTCTGTGCAATTTTGACTATCGCTGGTGCTGCATTATTTTATTACTATGCCCTTAGGGAGGCTGCAACCATCAACCTGTGGTGCAGCTTCGACTATAAGGTGCCTCGATAAAGTCTAATGTCAACATTACACAGTCGATCCCGTTTTTTTTTTATTCTTTTGGTGTTAATTTAATACGTGTGTTGTTTTATATTGGTTGAGTTTTGTTCATTGTTAGCAAGTAAGTAAAAGTAGTAAGCTACCTAAATCTATGGCTGCTTATTCCTAAAGTAATTCCCAGCTGCCGGTAAAAAAATAAAAAATCCAAGACGAAGACACACTTCGAAGGGAAACCGAGGATAAAAAGCCGCATTGACTCAAAGCAGATGGATATTTTCCCCTCCTGTTGATAAAAAAAAAATGGTAAATATAATTTTATTTACACAGTACATTGCTTCAGCTACCTTCTTGCATTTGGCTTTTCTTTTTTTTTTTTTTTTTTTTTTTGGCTAGAGGTTAACATCTCCAATTTGTCGATTGTGGGTCCAGTTTTATTTTATTGTATGAGGATTTTTATGTTTATTATTGACTAGAAAGAAAGATCTTTATCGGTGAAAATTGGTAATTGTTCCTTTTTTGTATAAGTATTTAGTCATAAATTTTTATTTTTTTTCTTCTTCTGATCGGCCCTAAGATACACGTTTAACGTTTCATATGATAGAGTAGCCCTCCCTCCTAACTTTTTGTTTGGTAGGATTTGTTTGCACTGTTTATTTGTAATTTAGAGACGAAAGAAAATTGATACAAGTTGATTTTTATGGAAAAAATACTAGTAACTAGGCTTTTTGTCTTACATATTTTTTAAATATATTTATGCTTTAAGGAAGTTTTCATGTTTAAATAGGCGTTAACAACCTCCATCAAACAAAACATTAAATTTTATTTTCCTTGGAGTTTAAGAAAAAATTGCTATCTTTGGTGTATATATTTATTTAGAGATACACATAATGTGTTTATACACAAGACATTATTACATTATATACAAAAATATTAATGTTTAAGTACTAAGTAAACTATTGTTACTGCTGATACTGTCTGTATAAAAAAAAAAAAAAAAACTAAGGTAGTGTTTTTTTTGTTTGTTTTTTTTTTCGATAAAAAACAAATTTTCTATTTTGTCTGCTTTAAAAAGAAATTGGATTTCGTTATTTAATTTTCTAATAATTAGACAAACTTTTTTTTTATAGATCATAAGAATCTTGTGTTTTTTGGGTTTTTTTTAAAAAGTTTTTTTTTTAAATATTTGTTGAAAAACTGTTTATATTTTAATAAATTGTGTATTGTACGATAGCGTCAGTTTTAAATCTACTAAACATTACAATTCTATTTGTTTGATTCATGGTAGATTATATTTTATTTTTATTTTAACCGTATTTCATTCAGTCTTCACTCTTCTTCGTCTATCTTGAAATGTTCATATTCACGATCTATTGCCCCTAGGTGCACTACTATTACTACTAGACAAGTACTAATTTGTAGTTCTATCTAGTCTAATTGTAGTAGGAAAAATACTAAAAATGGAAAAATAAATGTTTTATTAATTAAAAATAAAATAAAAAATAATGGCGAGGCTTTTCTTCATTCAATTGTATTTTTCCTGTTTTATTTTTAATGAAAATGAATTTAATTTTTTTTATTTGGTTTTACTTTTATGCATGTGGATTTAGTTCTAAAATTATTTTAAAGCAACAGCATAATTATATTTATTTTATCAATCAACAAATCGTTGTATATTCTTCTTGTCCCTCTACGATTGTATTTTCTTAAATTGTACTCTGTCTATATTACTACTGCTACTATTTCTATGGTTTTGTGTTACAAATAGAGAGAGAAAGGGAGGAACAAATATAGAAATGGGAGGTTCATGAGAATTTATTTTTAGGGTTCTAGTTGATATTTTTCTATTAAATTTTTTAAAATCATAATATCAGTTGTGAATATCATCGTACGGACAATGTATATCTCTTCAATGTTTTATCTTAAAATTAGATTCTTTAAATTTTTCATTTAGGCTCTTTAATTTAAAATACATCTAAATGTGAATTATTTATTGCGGTTGATTGTATTAAAACTGCTATTACTGAACTAGTTCTCTTACTATATTCTATTCTGTTGTACTACATATTTTTTTCGTAAAAAGATTCATAGAAAAATTGGTCAAAAAAAAAAAAAAACTAATAATTTGTATGCCTTATATTTTTTTCTGCAAGTCTGTTCTTAAACTTCATACCGATAATGAAAAAAAAGATATTAAAAAAAAAAAAAAAAAAAGTTTCGCTCAGTGTTTTTATATTTTTTTTTGTTGACTTTAAGTCTGCACACTTTATTGTTTCTTTCGGCTAATGATAATCTTTATCCAGTTATCCTTACCTTATCATATGAGACAGGGAATTGTTATCAATAAATCAAAAAACATTTAAAAATGAATAAAAAAAAATATTAATGATGTATTTAAAAAAAAATACTCAAAAGTCAAAACTAAAGAATTGTTTACTTTTTTGTGTAAGTCATAAAAGTAAATTTTTAAATGGTTTTTCTTGAGAGTGTACGAAAGTTGTTTATTGAATTCATGGGATCAATACAAGGTGATAAGGATCTTCGATCAATAACATTTTTAGTCGACCCAGCGTTACATTAAAACTGAAAATATAAGAAGTTTGATTTTTAAACGAAAAATAACGTTTTCATTGCGTGTAATTTTAAACCAATTACTTTGTGTTTATTTATTACAAAATATTGTTTTTTTTACGTATGTAAATATTGAGAATTGTTTAGGTTTTCGAAGTTTGGCCATTAAGCATGTATTTTTGTGCTAATAATAATACCGTACGTGTCTTACTGTTAAATAAATCTTTTGAACCAAGTCTACGTTTTGTTGTCAGTTTTGTTATCTGAACACGATTATTGGTTGCTCCAACATTAAATGAAATGACAAAACTGTCAAATATTTTCTATTGTTTATCACGAAATGAATTGTTTTTATAAATGCAGCATTTACATTACAAATGTAATTGCCTGTGTCAAAAAGAGTGCAGATTGAACTACAAAGATTAGGCAAGACTGGGAATCAAAACATTCTTTTTAGTTTTTTTAGAGTGGTAAGATTAAGATGAGAATGCTGCAAGGTTTTTGGTTTGATCAGGAAGGGAATTAGTCTGTGTACGTTTCATGGTTCTCTTTCAGTTCACTTATTTACCCTGCAATTCAACACTTGGCACATTATTTTTCAGGTTGCTTATCCATATAAAATTATTCTGCTGATATTTTGGTCATTGAAATTATGTTCTTATGCTGCTATCATTTCTAAATCATTCAAACATTTCATCCTTTTCAAACTCTTAGTCTTAAGGTTTGGAACCAAGAGAGTGTGGACTGTTAAAATGGCAATAATGGTCACATCCATCATTTTGCCAATCCTGCTGTGAGCAGGGGAAAAAAGAACTTTTCTGCAGTTTGTCAGTTTTTCTCTCGGTCAACGACTTTTTTTTTCTTATTTTTTAAGCCCTTCTGAAAGAGTCATCCAAACTAAATATCTTTCTTATAACGAACCCCCCCCCCAAAAAAAATGTGGCCATTACCTTGTTGACTTTTTTTTTATCTTGATTTTCTTTGACCGTGGAGAACCACAGTGCCACACTGTCCCCTCTGGATGGTAATCATAATTCATGTTTCATCAAACAGTAACAAACCATTTGTTTAAAAAATAATCACTTGATTGGTGAATGTTGCAAAAATCATCCTTGAGGTGTCCACCTGATATTGCTTTTAAAAACTAAAAACAAAAAAGTCAGTATTCAAAACATTCTGGTATCCACTTGATTGACAGTTTCTGCATCATACCCAGGAATTTCTCGGGTGTTATAATCTTTTAAACCCAACTGCTGAATATATCGGAAATTTTTATTTATTTATTTTTTCCGTGATTGTACGATCAACCAAAATTAGGTTAGGAAAATGATCAACAATTTCAGGGATTAAGGTCTCCCAGATCATACATCTTTTTAGCTTGGGTCTCAAAAATAAATTTTGGGGCTTTTTCTCCGGGGGGACAAAAGAAAAAAAAAAAAACTGATCTTCAACACTTGAAATTAAAATTCTGTTGACATGGTTCAGTCAATGATTTGAAATAAATTAAAATAAAAAATATACGCAAGAATTCTGCAAAGCAAATCTTTCCAACACAAGAAGTGCCATACGTCCAGCAACCCCTAAAATCATTTTTAAAGTCGTTGATAATTGTCTCCAATTTTCATTAAAAAAAAAAAAAAAAAAAATTAGACTAGTAATAGAAACATAACCTGATGTATGAATGATACATTATTTATTTTTCTGCGATATTAAAAAAATGGGCCGGCGGGTATTTTTAACATCTTTAAGAAGTGTAACTGTACTGTTGTGTAGTATTTTTTTAGTATTGGGTGGGGGTGTAGGGAGTGCTCTAAGGTGCTTTTTGTGGATGATTCTACCTATAAAATTTGTAATTGTTGATTGGAATCTAAATTTCCCACTTTTTATGGCATTAAAACTTATAAATTAAAAAAAATATTCCTTGGGACATAATTTCTTGAGTACATTACATTTATTTCAATTTCATTTTACCGTAGGTTGTTAGATAGTCCCACTCCCAGCGCATTCATATTGAACCTGACCTGACAGTATGAAACTTATAAAGTCTCTCCAACTGGAGTCGATGCTAGTATTGTTCCCTTGTTCAGTGTTGTGGAAGAAAGAAAAAAAAATCAAATCTCACTATTGACTTTTTTCACTGAAATAAATGGCCTCTAAAAATACTTCGACAATAATCACTTTTTTTTGGTATTTGAAATAAAATCCCACATTTCAGTTGTGATAAATAATTTAAATTCATTTAGTCAAGTGTTATCTTTGTAGAAATTGAAATCAATTTCAGTTTTACGAATCCAATTTACCGCAAAATTTAAAAGATCGTCCTTGCTCTCAGTCGAAATCAAGCGGCAATTTTCAATTATTTTTTTTTTTTAAGCAAGTAATTTAAGAAGCATAGGCTAGCCTGGCTGACCATCATGGTGATTTACAACCAAATGATCATGCTGGTCCGAAGTATGCAATTTCTTTTTATAAAAACAAATCGGTTCTTATTTGTCGTTATCTTTTTGTGTATTTTTTTTAAAACCATTTTTGGTTTTGCACATTCTCTAAAATTATATCATCATTGGTACTGAGTAAAACTGATTAAAAAAAAACCTTTTCTTAGTGTTTTTGCTTCCTAACGTTTCTTTTAGTAGTTTTACTTACTTCAGTTTCTTCACGGAAAAATATTGTAATTGTTCAGATTACAAAAATAAAGGAGTGTGTGTACGGGAAATTTTTATTTATTTAGCAATAAATAAATAAAAACAGAACTAGTTCCTACCCAATTAGTTGAGACAACTTTTTTTGTCTTCTTCTTATCCGTAGCAATCTGAGAGTTGAGGCAGAGGATGCAATATAGAAGAGGACGGTGTCACTGTTTTGTACCAATAGAAATCTATGTAGGAAATAAATTGGTGAAACTGAAACACAAGCAGCTGTACTCCTTGTATGTAAATGATTTTTGATATCTGTTTGTTATTTCACTATTTATTAAAAAAAAACAAAAAAAAAAAAACCATCCATCCTGCTTTAAGATGAGAACTATCGTTCTAAACTTTATTATTTGGCATCTTTTAAATTTTCCTTAAATAAATTTGTATCATTATCAAACCTTTCGTGGTGATACTACTACTACTTGGTGTTTCTATGATGAAAGTCTGGGTAAGTGTTTTAGGAGGAGTTACCGTTTCCTTGCATTTTGGTATACCAATATTTGGATGATTCATTCAATATTTATAATTTTTAAGCCGTTCGTTGAGCATTATTCTTTTAAATGGTAATCTTTGGGGAATTGGAGCAGGAGAATAATTTTCAAAAACCACACCCTCCCCCTCCTCCCAAAAGCTACACTCTCACTTTCAACTAAATCAGCTGAGGGGAGAAGTGTGTAGTTGATTGTAAACAAACAAACAAAAAAGTGGACACGTGGAAATGTTCTTTTTTTTGTTTCTCGTATAGCACAAAGTCATTTAAATTTTTACATGATTTCATTTTTTATTGTATTATAATTTAAATATGACGTTGTTATATTTTCGTTTCGGTTTAATTGACTTATTGGCGGAAAATTCTCTGTATGATCATTATGATTGTACTGGAGAAGCGCATTGTCTCTTTTTTTTTTTTTTTTTTTTTTTAAGTTAACAGAACTTTAGTTTATTTAGGAAATGGAAGAAGAACCAACAAAAACAAATAGTTCGCCGTATACCCTGATGATTAAAAAAAAAAATTAGGTTTGTTATCAACAATTGATATAACTGGAATTAAATAATTATTCCCTAGTTTTTGCTTAAAAAATGAACATTGTTGCCTCCATCCCCAATTAAAAAGTGACACCTTTTTTGTGCGACATGAAGTTGCTCGATAATGCTAATGACTTTGAAAGTGATCAGTTGTGCAACAAAGCAACATGTACTTTTTTTTTTTTTCTTTTTGTCTTTTGTTGGTACTTACAATCATTTCTTTGCCATGGAATGTTAATTTACTTATTCTCAGAGGTTCCTATGTGAGGCATTATTGTTAGTAATGAAGTAAAACTAGCATCTTCATCTTTTCATTAATTAATCATAATGTTTTGTTGTATTTCCCAGTTTTCTATAATACGGTGCGGGGGCATGAATACTAAGCTTTTCCATTTATGATTAGTAAATATCATTTTTACTTAGCAATAATTGCTACAAATCAATACAGAATTTTAAAATAGTAAAAAGAATGAAAACAATTTTTATAAAAATTCATTATTTCCTGGAAAAAAAAAATTTAAGGCAATAGTGTCCATAAGTCATTAAAAGCTTTTGCAAATGTCTTTGTTTTATTTTGTACAGAGCATAGCTAGCATGATGAAAAAGACGCCAGACTTGACGAAAACAAAATTTTATCGTCTAAATGTTTTTGGGGTGTGTTGTTTTTTTTTGTTTTTTTTTTTTTTAGTCAGAAAAATTGACAGATAATCTGCATGTCAACATTTTTTTCCATATTTGGTTTTTAACTGAACTGTTTCTAGTTTCCAGTGAATGCTGGACAATTTCTCCACAGATGAGGTGAAAACTGGAGGAAGCAGAAATGTGGTTCTACACAATGACACTGAAAATTTAATGGACAGAATGAGTAAACAGCAAGGAAGTCTTAAAGAAAATAACAATAGAAAGAGAACACTTATAGTCAGTTAGAAAAAGACAGCTGAAATTCTTTAGACACATAATGAGGAAAGAAGGCTTGGAAAACTTAACTCTCATTTTAAGAGCAAGGGAGATAGAGTAAGTTAGCAAGCTACTTATCTGATAAACTTGTGTGAATGGATGGCAGAATCCTTTGCTAAGGATCTGCCCCCCATCCTTAGCAAAGGGAGAAAAAACTGCTAATAGCCACAATGGATAGGAAGTTGTGGAGAGCTATGATCTCATGTCCTCAAGGGATGCAAGACAAGCTTGTTAAATATCAAAGTTACATATTCCCTGTTGTATAACAGCACATGAGACTAAATATCAGTGAAGACATTTGGAGCTATGTAATGAAGTGGAAAAAAAATGTTAGAAAAAGATTATAGAAGTCTTAAACATCTATTGAGTTTTTATTTTGCTAATATAATGCTAAGTAGTTCATCTATATATGTTTTGTTGTGTATGATTGTATATACCACTGCCTGTTTTTTTTACAGTTCAAATTTATTTTTTCCAACAGGAATTGATTTTGTTCTACATCAAAAGATATATATTTTGAATCTGATAGAATTGTTTGCAATTATTTATGTGACCAAAGTCCAGACCTCTTTGAATATTGACTTATTAACACTGTATAAACATTTAGCCTTCATTGCTAAGATATAATAGTAGTGAAAGGTAACTTAATATTTTTGTGCTTAATGACATTTTATTCTGAAAGTTGTTCAAGAATCAGTGTATTTCTCATTTCTCTTAACATGCTGGCAATGATTTCAGCTAAACTGAATTGTATGTTTAATTTGTTTCCTGACAAATATTTAACTTGAAAGGTTTGAATTATAAAGAATAAAATTTTAATGCTCTCACTGTATATTTTTTTAGTGTGAGGTGCTGTTCTCTCTCTCTCTCTCTCTCTCTATATATATATATATATATATATATATATATATATATATATATATTTTTTAAAAATGATTTCATCGCTACATAAGAGTTCTCATGTTTCAAAACAAGAGCCAAAACGTCAATATAATTATTTGAATTAGTTTTTGGCTCTTGTTTTCTAACATGAGAACTCTTATGTAAGAATCTTCAATTTTTAAATAAATAATTATATTTAGGCTCTACTTTTTGTATCGAGCACTGTTTTTTAAAAAATAATAACAAAAATACTAAAGTTCTTTCCTATTTTCTATATATTTTTACACACACATATATATATATATATATATATATATATATATATATAAGTACTACTGAAACACTTGTTAAATTTCTGTACCGTTATTTAAATGAGTTCTGCTGATGGCATTTTATTTGTTTCAGTATTATTTCTAAAGGGGTGTGTTTTATATATATATATATATAGATTCTGTTATGATAATGTGATGCTGTCCATAATTATTTTTGCATTATTCATAGCAATACCAGGTTGCTAATTATTACCCAACAATAGGTGATTCTATTATTATGGATGATTAAAAAGGTAACACTGTTTATTATATACAAATGGGTGCTGGATTTTTCACATCCATTTGAATGAGTCTTTGAACTTGTGTATATGTTATAAATATAATGTATGTTTTGAATTTATTTAATCTGCGAGAGATATATTTGTTTTCTTTCTTTTCAGGCTGAAGATGATTACAATTTAAGTTTAATCGATGGTTATGAAAGCTACAATGAGAGCAACAGCTCTGACACTGAGCACTATGCTGAGGCCATTGTTCAACCAAAGGTACAAGCAATGTCACCAGAAGAGAAACCAGTTTCTCAAGAGAAATTATCTCCCATTCGATTCATCAATGGTAAAGATGGCATGGGTATGTTCTTGCCTCTTAATATCCACAAATTCATTTGTTGTCATGATGTTCATGAATATGATAAAAATTAGAATCTAAAATTAACTTTAATTTATTTTTTATTTAGTGTCATATTTATGAAGACATTGGCTGGCTAAAATGTTAATTTTCAATCTTATTTAACAGCACCTTTGCTGTTTTATTTTTGCTATCTTCCATATTTTCACCAATGTTATGTTGGTGCAAATGATTTTCATTGTTTGATTTGCATGCCATGTTGCAGAATATTGATTATTTTCAGGTAATTTCATTATCAACCTTAACTAGTCTACCAGACTGAAGCACTGTTCCATGAGAAATCACCAGCATAAATTTCACAAATCACTTACGACATGTTCACTCCTACAAAACATCTCCATAAATCGTTTTTTTTTTTCTTTTGCATTTGTGTTGCCTTTTTACATTTCTATAAAATTTTAAAAAACCAAAAATGTTGGTTTTTCTATCTTCAATGTTAGAATCAATAAAAATATAGTGGTTTTGACATTCTTGAAAAAATGTGTGCTGATATAACAGTTGTTGCAACAGACCTTTTTGAATGTAGTTAAAACTAAATGCTCCTAAAACCATCGAATGAAAAAATAAACATATTTTAAGCTATTTAATATTTATCGCTTCCTATATTTTTGTTTCATGCTAAAATGAAAATTCTACAAAACAGCTCAAATGCTAATTTCTTTTTCATGCAGACAAAAGAAAATGGTCATATGCATATTTTTGTTAATCAAGAATCCTTATATATTTACAGTAATCTTCTGTCAACTGATAGAATATTTCTTTTCATTGTTTAACTACACAACAAAATAACACTATTATTTGCCTAAAGAAAAACTGACTTTTATAGTATCCATTACTATAAAGCCAGCAATTGTTTTCTTTTATGTATCTCATAGCTGGACTCTGGAGGCTGAAAATCAGTTTATAAAGGCAACTTGAAGAACGACATGAAACCAGTAGTGCTGACCTACAAGATCACCATGTCTTAAGGTTAAAAATGATATTTCCATTCAAACTGCAAAAAGAGATCTCTCTTTATACAACACCACATAAACCAGAATAGCCAAGTGGACAGCAGCATGGAAAAATGGAATTGTCAAGTTCATAATCCAGCTAAGATAATCTGTAATTGCTTCACATAAATGCTCTTGGGAAAGGAATTAATAGGAATAAAGGGTGTAATTAACATTGGAGTGCAGTAAAAAGTTATTATTGATATAAAATAGTAATTATTTTATATATAATTAACTTCATAACTTGCTTCAAAGTATATACACTGAGAATTAAATTTTAGAGATTTTTCTTCATTCTTCTTTTCTCAGAACACTTCTAGTATGTGAGTGTAATATTAGCATGAGATGAACATTGGAATAAAGCTTAGAGAAATTTGGATTTGTTTTTATGAAGGGTATATAGGCCAATTAATAATAGAATACAATTTTAATCACTAATTGTAGAGTAATTGTCCATGGTTAGATGTAATCAATAATCATAAGAAATTGGCCTCCTCCTTTGCACCCCAAAATGGCACTGCAGAAAAATCTTGATCTCTATTTGAAATAGGAAGATGTCTGTTAATTGAATCATAATTACCAAAATTCTTATAGTCATACATTATTATGACAGCTGTATACATTAGAAATCTGTGTTGCAGGCAAAGAACTGGAAAAACTGCTTTTGAAATGTGTACAGGTCACAAAGCTAACCTTAGTAATATGCATACATTTGGCACAGTTTGTTATGTTTACATATAAGATGGAAAGAAATTGGACACCAAATGTGAAAAAGCAATTTTCAGGGGCTATTGAAAATATATGCCAAAAATGACAAAAGGGTCAAGAGTAAGATGTTTAAAATTTACTGAAAATTTTGGAATTCCTACTACATCTGACATTTCTTCACTTCAAGAAAATGCAATATTACTTCCCAAGTCTTTGGAGAGAAATCCTCTCATAGGGAGGACAAACAAGAAAGTCAAATTACACAATAAAAAAAGTCCAATCAATAATACAGGAAATAATCTTATGTGCAGAAATATCCATCAGAAGATACCCAAGCAAGTTACAAAAATGCCTGAATAGTTAAAAGATTGTTATTTGGATGACATAGTAAATCCCAACATGCATCTATATGATTTGTCTATAAAGGGAAGTTTTTTTGCAATCATTCCTACATGGATTGGAACCAACATTAATTTTTAGGGTATATTATGGGTATATTTTCAGTTTTTGGATTCCTTTTCTCAGAGCATTACTTTTTAATGTTCCTAACATGCATATCTTTTCCTAATTAGACTGAACAGGGCATAGACTTTGTTTCAACTAATAGTTACTTGACTTTTCTTTATATTTAATTTATATTCTTAAATAAATGTGCTAAAAACAATGATTCTTTTAAGTAACATCTCTTATAAAATATTAAAAACGTTAAGTAAACTTTCTGGCCATCATAAGAATGAATAACAGATTTCAAATTTTTTTTTTTTTTTTACTTCATTATTTGTTAAAAGATACCTCTAACTTCCAGACATTATTTCTTTCATTATTCAAATCTAAGATGTATTATTTTTGTGGATGCTGATCATTTTCTTCTAAATTCAAAACTCACAACAGCAAAATCCAATTTGCAGTATTGACTTTTTTTTTATACTGCATTATAAGAATTGTATAAGGAAACTCTTTGCATTTCCAGTGTATTTCACTTATAACAAAGTCAAAAGAAATAATGCGATTAATATTGAAATATTAAACCTTTTTAACCCATTAATAATATTGTCATGCATGGAATTTTAATCTGACAAGACAAGTGTGTGTATATATTGTTTGTTTTAAATTCTTCTGGATATAATATACAAAACAGTTTTAAGAAAAACTCCAAATAAAAACTAAATTTTATTAAAAGAATTTTTTCTTTTTACTGTACAGGTTCATATTAATAATTATCCTGACATTTGAATAAATCCCCCCCTCTCAAATGTTTTAGTAGTTAACATCTTTTTGTATCTTGTAGAATGGTACAGATAATGGGTTTTATGTGTTTTAGGAACGTCTTTGTCTTCAGCTATCAGTGTTGCACTTCCCGTTCTCAGTTAAAACGTTTTCCAGATATTTAAGATGTTGTACTTATTTGATTTTGCTATGTACAATTTGTAATTTGCTTGTTGGGCTGTTCCTTTTGCTGACAACCATGCATTCTGTCTTCTTGCAATTTTCTACTCGCTTTCTTTCACTATCTTCTGTAAAAGTTCTTGTAGTTTCCATTCTGTGTCTGGTGTTTTGGTATACAATATCAGTTTGGTTCCTATAACTATTATTAGGACTAGCAGTTGTTACAAGTAATTATTTGGACAAGTCATTCTGTACAGAAAATGGAGGTCTTGTATATTTACTCTTCTTCCATGCTCTCAATATTATACTATCTAAGGATAAAACGATAATGAAGCTAGCTTATTAAGTGAAAGCTAAGAAAGAGTTGGTTTCATGTATTTCCTAAAGTTCATCTATATTTCTGAGATGAGGTATTGTAATTATTTACATTTGTTCAGACTGTTCTCTTCTTTATTGCCATATTCACAATGTTTTGACTGTTGTACACTCCAAGTTAAAGGAAGAAGTATGGAATGTAGAACTAGAACAATTTACCCTGGTGGAATAAAATAAAAGGTTCAATTCAAAATTCTGGAGTGTACAATCTGAAATGATGTGAATATGGCAATAAAGATTCAGACAATAGTCCGAACAATGTTAATAATTTCCTAAAGTATTTATGAAAGTAATGTCAGTTACAATAAACAAGCTGGAACTGGTTTGCATTTAAAATATATATTTACTTTATTTGATTTTTGCAGCTACCTGTGAGAAATGTGGAACTATTGGAGTAAAGCATGCATTCTATTCTAAATCAAAACGATTTTGTAGTCTGTCATGTTCCCGAAGTTTTGCTACTGCCCAACGTGAAGGAAAACCTGCTGGAAAAGGTTCTGGCACATTTGGTCAAGTAAGTTAAAACTGTTTCTTTTGGTTACTAAGTTTTGATATGACTAAAGATTCTTCAAAATGCAAACACTTCTATAATTAAATTGCTTAAAGGTAGTTCTCTCTTGAGCTGTAGCTATTACTCTATTAATTTGAGAGATATGTAACTTGTATTTTTAGGCAGTTCTGAACCAGGAAAACTGTTAGAACTTTTTTATATTTTAAGAAATATAAGGAAACTAACAATTTTCTTGAAATTCCATTGTATTAAGGAAGGATTATTATAGATATTTGAAAGCAAAGATGGTAGCAATTTATTTTTATTTACTAGAATAAATTTAATTTAACAAATTTTGGAGTGAAAATATGTCTGAATTCCTTCTACAGCAAGTAAGTAGACCATTCAATTTCAGTATTTTAAAATAAATGTTAATTTTATCTTAATTTGTAGAAGACTCATAGTTCTTCAAAGAAGCAAAGTTCCGGTTCTAAAAGTTCACAGTCACATCATCGTACCTTCCCTACCTCCATCAATAGTAGCAAAAGTAAGTTCATCAGATTTCTTTTTTTTTTTTTTTTTTTTTTTTTTTATTGACATTAGTATTTGTGAGTTTTACAAAGATTTAATTTGTACCTTTTGTTGAATTTAAGATATATCAAAATCATTTCATTAATATCCAGTATCTTCCACTTGAATGTCTTGTACGTTCTTTGATGCTGGCTCCATACCTATAACAATGTTAAAGACTTCTTGAAAAGTTATAGTAGTATCTACCAGTAACCTCCTTTTTGTATCATGTTGTCAATAATTCTCTTAACACATCAAGTAAAATGACAAAATGATGATCTTCACTTCTACTATGGAGTTTCTGCTACAAAATCTGGTAGAACTTTAGAATTTGAACCTTTACACAATAATTGATGCTTTGGGGTTGTAGTCGTTTTTTTCATAAGATTCAATAATTCTTGTGTTTGTCTCAAGGCTTACTTGGGGCTAAAAGATTTGACATAGTTCACAAATATTCATATAATCATTGGCTGTTGTTTTGTTTTTTTTTGTTTTTTTTTTTTAAGGAGTGTGACTTTCACAATACTTTCACTTGAGCTGTCAAAATTCTCACAGCATCTGTATGATGCTATTATGTCCGATATTCATCACTTTGTCACCAATTCGTAAGAGTTTTGTTCACATTTATTCAAATGTCAATTAGTTACGACAAAATTAAAAACAATGCTTCAGGGGTAAAATATCTAAGGGGAGTCAAGTATATTAAAGGCAAATTTATTCGTTTATTTTTATAATAGAAGTTTATATGAAAATTTAATTTGTATAAGCTTTTCAGAGTAAAAATTTTACTTTAAACATTAAAATACACACTGAAATAAGCATTTCATTTTTTTCTTTAAAGTAATGATAACAAAATATGATTGCTTTATAACTTATTTTTCATCTATTTGTTTTTTTTTTCTCTAGGTGATCGGATTTTTGATTGGGGTCCCTACTTGATGTCTTCTGGTACTGAAGCTGCTCCTGTTAGTTGCTTTAAACATGTGAGAAAATAATTATTTTACATTTTAAGCATGTAACATGCAAGGAAAATGCATTCTGTAACCTACATGTTTGAGGGTTTTTTTTTTTGTTTTTTTTTTAAATATTGTCTTGTTTAACTTTAATATCTACTTTCAATACATTAAGGACATAAATTTGAATCCTATCCTATTGTATAATTTACTATCAATTTTCTCATGAAAGGAGATTTGAAAAGTATTGTTTATGATTTATCTATTAATCTTAGCAAATGATACTTGTTATCATTGTGCTGAAAGTTTTCTTTCTACATGTACATGTTTTTTCTTTTTAAATACCATATTACTTCAGGACAGATGATTATGGCTCTCCACATTTCTTTATTATCTATGAATTGTCATGACTTTTTGGAAAAGATAGTGGAATGGTTTCCCATTAATTTCTCCAGTTTTCAATCTGGAATTGTCTTTTTAGATTTACTACCACTTAAGGCTAGATAGTTTGGCTTACTCTATTTAATAGCTGGGAGGAGAAGAGGTGGATTCATGTTTTCTCAAAGGCATTATTGTATCAGGTCATCCCATAAGTTCTATCCGAATTTTGAATAAAGAAAACAAGTGACCAAATGTTACATTTAATTACAGATTAAATTAACAATGTATTTTCCCTGATTATCTATGACTTCCTTCCGTCTATTAACAAGCTTACTAATTCCATTACTGTAAAATTCTTTTGGCTTTGATTTGAAGAACTCACAAATGTCAGTTTTAACCTATTCCTGTGTTACAAAAGCTGTTTCTTCCAAATGATTCTGTAAGCTACGAAACAAATGGTAATCTGAAGGAGCAAGATTGGGAGAATAAGGTGGATGAGGAATTTTCTCCCAACCAAGTTCTTTGATCTTTTGTGACATGATTCTTGCTGTGTGGGGTCGTGCGTTGTCCTGATGAAACATCACCCCTTTTCGATTCACTAGAGCAGGTCTTTTTTTCCTCAGAGCTTGGTTCAAACGCTCTAATTGCTGACAGTATATTTGAGCATTAATTGTTGCATTAGGTGGTAAGAATTCAAAGTGGATTATTCCTTGGCGATCCCATCAAATTGAAAGAACCTTTTGCCCATGAAGTTCCCTTCTCAGCTGTGGCTGGGGTCCTTCCCCTTCAAGCCACTGTCTACGACGCTTAACATTTCGATAAAAGATCCATTTTTTCATCACAAGTCTATCCAAAAAAGGTGAAACAAGTTGGCGAGAATGGAGAGAAGAGCAGATGTCAACTCTGGATTAGAGGTTGTTTTCAGACAATTCATGAGGCATCCATTTTCCAAGTTTAGGAACTTTTCCAAGTTGTTGAAGATGACGATGAACAGTTGTATGGTTTGAACTGAGAATCACTGCCAATTCCTCAACTGATAAAGCAGGATTTTTTCTTCAAGGGCTGCTTCAAGAAGCTTTTCATCAAACTCAACTGGACGTCTGGTTCGATCTTCATCTTCAAGGGTGAAATCTGCACCTCTGAATTTTGCAAACCATCTTCTGCAATTTAATTTTGTTCTCTGAAATAAAATTTGATCAGTTTAAATGCATCTAAACATAAAAAATAATGTTCAGCTCCATTAGACATTATAAAATACTCTTTAAATTTTGTTCATTTTAACAAAAAGTTAAAATTTGGACAGAACTTATAGGATGACCTGATAAAAGAAAATACAGTTGACTGGGCTGAAATTTGAACTCTGTTTACCGATTTCCCTTTCTATGTTGATAACCATTACACTACCTGCACCACATATAGAGCAGTGTTATGTATTACTTGTAATTTTTTTTCTTCCATAGAATAGAAGTTAATAGCATAATTTCATAACCAAAAATTGTTTACTTAATTATGTATATGACAGAATAATTTGTAGCAATTATAAATTTTTTTACTAATTTTTTTTGCCTTTTGTTGTTAGTCTCATATTCATTAAATTTCTCATAACTAAGTATTTTAAAAATGTTTAATATATTTTTGTATAGGTTGCTATGAGTGAAGGATGGGATAACATCACCGTTGGTATGAAAGTTGAAGTTCCTAATTATGATACAGATCTGACAAATGTATTTTGGATAGCTACAGTCACAAGGATTGCTGGTAGGTTCAACTTTTTGCTTTAGTTCATTAAAAAAACTAAAATGAATTCTGAAAGAAGTTTGAAAGTTACACATTTCCATCTTTGTTTCTAGTTAATTTTTAGTATTTTTATTTAAATACATTATTTTTATTTAAATGCATTAACAGGAAAAGCAATATCATATTTCATATAAAATTGTATAGATACTTGTTAAGTTGATTCTAAAAGTTCAGTTTTGTCAGATATTGTGCCAAAATAGCTCATACATATTAAAATGTTAATATTTTAAAAAATGTCTAATTTCAAAAATTTTTCTTTAATCTAAGATGTAGACGATGAAAAACAGATTATGGTGAATAAAACATGAAAAAATTTAAGCTAAAGTAAATTTTTGTGTAAATAATACCTTTTCAATTTAACATTATTTACAGCTATATAGATATTTGAAATTGCTTACATTTTTTATATGTTTTTACAGTCTCATTACAACACATTTTTAGGCTAGAATTGTTCCTGTTGTGTTAATACTGAAGATGAATGTGATTGTGTTTTGAACACACTAGTTCATACCAAAATGATTTATAATAGTTTATGTACAAATTTTCTCATACCATTAATTTCTCTCCTTTTTTTTTTTTTTTTTTTTTTTTTTTTTATTCCTTCTCTTTTGTTTCACTTGCATTTGATAAAATATGCATTTCAGGTTATAAGGCTCTCATGCGATATGAAGGTTTTGGGAATGATTCCTCTAAGGACTTCTGGATCAACCTTTGCACTCGAGATGTTCATCCAGTCGGCTGGTGTGCCACCATTGGCAAACCGCTTGTACCCCCTGAGTGTAAGTTGCTTTTAAAATATTTTCCCTTTGTATTTTATGGTAAATAAAACCTGATGAATTTAGTATTTTCACTAAATGATTTTGAAATATCTATACCACATCTTAATTTAATGTATAAGGTAAATGTTCAGGACATTTTTTACTGCTTCCACTGAGTCAGTTTGAGGAGCTTCCTTTTAAGGAATGTACTTCCCCTTGTTCAGACCTTCTCGATAACCCATATCATGTGAATAAACACTGAAATATTAACAAAATTACTTATGACTCTTTTTTTTTGTTAATAGATATCTACATTGATGTTTCTGTTATTTAGAAATTGTCTGATAGATGTTTGTTTTTTTTTTTTTTTTTTATCTTTACCTTTAGTAAATTGATGCTTGTTGACTTTCCCCAATTGTAATGCTGCTTTTCTATAACGGTAAATTCTAACATTTTTGTCATTGATTTAAATCTCTTAGATGATGATCATTTTAATATCTGAAATTTTCAGATTTAAAATTTTCTTTCACAGCTATTCAATCTAAATATGCAGACTGGAAAGAATTTTTGGTTAAGCGGCTTACCGGTGCGAGGACACTACCAAATAACTTTTATAATCTGGTGAGTTTTATTATGGTATTGTTAATAAATTTTATCTTTGCCTTTCATTTTCCTTTTTATTGTTCTGTCACTATGGAGATGTTGAGATTGCAAATTCAGTAAAATCTAAGAGAAAAGGTTTTGTTCACTCTACATTCACTCAACTGAATTTCATACACAAGAGAGGACAACTATGCTAAATGTCTTATCTAGATTTTAATAGATCCAGAATATGACCTACATAACAAAGTAGTCACCATAGAAAGTTATTCAAGTTATCTCTATTGAACTTTTTTTTTTCTTTTTTCCAAGGTGTTGGATTCGCTCAATGATCATAAGTTCAAACGTGGGATGCATGTGGAAGTGGTCAACAAGATGTGCGTTTCATCCATGCGGGTAGCAACCATTGACGAAATTGTTGGTGGACGCTTAAAACTCCAGTATGAAGATAGCAATGTAAGTTGGCAGATATGAGCATTTAACCATTTTTACCTCAAGTTTACATTGTGTTTATCTTTACTTATTATTAATCATTTATGGGGTAAATTAGTTAATATCTAAGTACAGATATGATTAACATAACATTCAATTTGGTATTTACAAAATGAGATAACCTTTTGGTTTGTTTACTTTTAGTCACATCTTTGTTGTTTTTAATACACACACACACACACACACACACACACACACACACACAGCTATTCAAATATATATCCCCAAGATTTTATAAACCTTTTGTTCCTTCTTTTTAATCAATTCAGCAATTTTCATTGTTTTTAAGATTTTTGCTAAATTAAAGTACTTTACCAAAAACTAAGTCATAATGGAAACATTTAAAATGTTTTAGCATAAACAGTAACTGTTTAAATGTGTTTAGCTATTCAGTATAGTTAACAGATAAAAACAAGTTGCCTGTTCTTGTATTTACTTAGAATTGCAGAAGTCATGGGTAATTTCTCTGGATGTATACATATAAAAAGGCATATTCTTTTATTTTAGCCATAAATTTAGGGTTTTGATGAGCAAATTAATCTTCTGCTGTATTAGAAAATGTAAGATTAGAAAAGATCTAAGTTGAATGAAAAAGAAAGATTACTTCTTTAGTACAAGAAATTGTAATATTTAAAGGATTCATATCTAAAAATTGGTATCATGTCTTGTAGTCTTTTTATCTTATAAATTATATGCATCTATGTTTAAGTATTTTAAACAATTACACTTTATTGTTTTAATGTTAAATAATCTGAGAATACACTAAATTGTTAAAAAATACAAATATGAGTGTATAATCTAAACAAACTTTTCAATGTCAACTTATATTGTTTTTGTAAATGTCAACTCTGGAAATTTTCAGAATTTTTTTTTTTGATATACTTGATTTCTGTTTATTTTTTATATTTAATTTTAACTATTTGATGAACATATTGATTAGCAATCCAGGGGTTGGACTTCAGCAAAACCCAAAGCACAAGCCACTGACTGATAATTTCAATTAAGATATATGAATAAAAAACAAAAATTCCTGAGTTGAAGTTTTTTTGAACGCGGTATACGATTTTCTCTTTCATAAAGGGTAATCTCCCTTTTTCATTCTGTAAGAGTTATCTCCCTTTAGCCATTGGTTCGAATAACGTTGTTGGTGGCTGTGTTTCTCAATTTTGCCTCCAGCAATTCCATTTTCTTCTCTCTAGATGGACAGTGAAGGATGGACAGATAGTGAGAGATACCTGTACACTCGAAAGGTAAGTTATCTTTGTCTTCATCCCTCATGGATTGTGTTTTGGGTTTGTTTCCCAAATTTTTTTTGTTTTGAAGTCCATTCACCTGTTTTTATTTTGTGGCACATTTAACATTTTGATTGTCCTAAAACAGTCATTATTACAGCACCTTGTGAAACTCGTACTTGTCAGGTCTCTCTTATTTATATTGTTTATGCTTCTCACTTTTACCACAATTTGTAACAAGATATAAAGGACAGGATTATTTAAATATTTATTTACAGTTTTTTAAGATTGTAAAAAGTGATTTTAAAAAAATAGTTTCAATTATTTTATAATAAAAGCAATATTGCTTTATATAGATTCTCATAAATGTTTGTCTTTATTAGTTTTGATTGGTGGTAGAATCACAAATTAGATTTAACTTAAGTAGTTTTAATATCAAGTACACCTCTGCAAAAACGGCTTGGAATCAACCCCCTTTTTATAGGTATCTTTAATGCACACATTAATACTGCTGTTATGCTTGTTTACTTTCTTTGCATGTATGAATCTAATTGCTTTGTAACATGCTTTAATCTAAATTTGATTAACTTTTTATGTGTGGAAAACTGAAAAAGTAACCTACACATTCCCCTAATAAAAAATAATTACTCTGTTATCCTTCAAATAAACTGGGATATGTATACAAGTATTTTTCTGTCTTATTAATACAAATTCAAATTTTGTTTGGCAGTTGGATTCCTGTTTGCTACTGTTTGTGCAATATCTTGGTCGTTCCATTCTAGTTGTCTGGTAATTGTGGTGTTATGTCTTCTTTCTTTCTTTTTTTTTATTACCCCCCCCCTCTTTCTATCTTAAAAAAAGGGTTAGTTTCTTGCTTTCAGATTTGGAAGCAGGTCATTAGCAATAACCACCATGAAGTTAAAAGAAGAATTAAAGGACATACCAATGTAACTATCATCCATTGTCATTTCTAAGTATCATTGAAGCAACAGCAAACATTCCATAAGTGTAGTGTAATAGATTCAAAGGTTTTGCTGGTATTACAGCATCAGGGTGGTTTTCAATAGTAAAATTACTACAGATAATTAACTGGAGTTTTGCTTGAGTATAAGTCAAGTAAGTATACATTTCAACATCATGTAGTTTTTTCTGTGTTAGGGAATTCCTTGTGTATGGATTATACTAGTCTAGATGCATGGGCAGAAACAATGGTTTCATCATTGTATTTAACATTAGTGAAATAAAGTGATCTTTTCAATAACTATTTTTCTGTTCTGAAGAAATAGTTTTTTTTGTTTTTTTTTTTTGTTTTTTTCTTATGGATTATTCACCTGAAAATGGATTGCCATAAACATTATAACAGAATTAAAAGAATGAGTTTCATTGTCTAAACCAAATTTGGAATGTTAATGATCTTTTTAAAAGCTAATGAACAATACAAATACAGTTTTTTGTTTCTGAGAAAACTTTCATCCCATGGTGTAGGCTTATTTTTCTTTTATAAATCTGAAGTACTAGAGTACATAAATTTGATTGCATTACTACTTTTATTCAAGCTCTAGCAGGCTGGTCTTTCATATACGTTACTTGAAACCTACCTTTCCTTTAAATGCGACCATTATTTTATGAGTTCATATTTCTTCTGTGGCTGTTATTATTTTAGATTAATGTTTGCAGCTTGGCTGGAAACATCTGAGATTAAATAAATTAGGAAAGTCTTCATTCTTTGGGTATTTCATTTCTCATAAGTTACATTAGTCAGTGTATTAGAACAATGTTGTGAAGTTTTTTGTTTTCATCTTCTACCTGTTATTTGATTCAAATAAATTATTTCATAAGCTTCAATTCCTGGCTACAAAAGCAAATGTTACTTAGAAATTGCTTGGTGATGATTTGAGTAGTATTGTATAAATATTTAAATGTACTAACAAGAAAATTTAAAAGTTCACAATTAACAATATTTTTAAAACCTCATATTTTCTACTTAGAAGATTAATAATTAAAATCATCAAGAAAGTTGGTAGATCATAAATTTATATTTATTTAATTATTTTGAAAAGCAGGAGTGAATATTTCTACCTTAAATGTATATTAAGTTCAATGAGTCTATTTACAAAAATTTTATTTAATCTGTTAAAACTTATGTCAGTTTTTTTTTTTTTTTTTTTTTTTTTGTAAATTCTGTTATAGAATTTGGGAATTTAAAGAAATATAAAATTCAGGTTTATAGTAGATTTTAACCCTTGTAATAAAGGTAAATACTGATCTACAATTAAAGTTGTAAAATTTTAGATAATAAACTTTGTTCATTTTGCATTTGTATCAAGTCCTTTATATGAATATTTGAGTCAATTTATATATAACTTACAGATATATCACATTGAAGCACCAATTCTTGTCTGATCACTGAATTTGAGCAATGTCAATACTGTGTGCTGTAAACTTGGATATGCAGGTGGGTGATATAATGGCTCAGAATGAGAAATCAGAGACCTGTGTTCAAATTCCAGTTGGGTTCATTACATTCACTTACACACAAATTACCTTGGGAAAGATATGAATCCATCTCTTCTTTAACCATGGATTACTAGCAGGACAGACCCTGTAGCCTTTGTTGGTAACAAGTTTAGGAGAAGGAAAACTTTAGATTTAAACCAACCTGAAGAGGGTTGGCATACAGAATGAGCTTTTTATAGGTTCCAACATGCAGCTAGGAGCTGGAAAACTCCTGTTCAAAAATAAAATATAAAAAGAAACAGTGATTCTAGCATCATCTGACCTGATGCTATGAGGAAGAGTGTGCATTGCAAGGCAAAGGCAATTGACCACTTTAAATGATTCACTTGTGCATTTTCAGTAAAAATTAGAATTTACTGAACCATCATACATCATTTGTGACAGGAGAATCCGCACACGTGGAGAATCTACTAACTCATATATATATATATATATAATAGTGGTCAATATTCCCAAGAGGATAGAATCCAGGTAGAATTCAATGTCCAGGATAGAGTAAGAATATAATATAAAAGGCTCAAACACTAATATTCCATGGTTATAATTTATTACATTGGAATCGTAATTACGATTCAATTCATCAGACCTACAAATTCAAAAAGAAATCGGAAAATATTTTTTATATATATATGTATATATAAGTTAAAAATTGCAGATATGGTGGTTGATGTAATAAAATGTAGCTATTATATATTAATATACATATTATCCTTCACCATAGACTGACTTATACTCAGCATCTGAAGATTGTGTTGTGCATGAAACTCAGTCATACTATCAGTGAAGGATTTTATATATATATATATATATATATATATATATAGCATCTGAAATTAAACCTCAATAATTTGAATTTGGTTTGAAAAATTTTTATTTCAACATGGAAAAAAATAGTTTTTATTAGATTTCGGAGTCTTTAAAATAATATTAGTTTAATCTGCATAATAACTTCACATTCCATTTTTTATAATAAATCTAATGACTTTAATAAACATGGTGAAACTATCTAAATATTTAACTCTAGATTTATTTTGTCAAATCAAATTTTAAAGTAAATTAGTTGCATAACTTCAGATGAGCTCTGTGTTTGTATGTAATGTTGAATGTGATATATTTTTAAATTCTTTCTTTACAGATGTATTCATATTGCTATTATCTCATATAATTTAGCTTAAATTATGAAAGCAGTTTTAATAGGCTCACAACAGTGAACATCAGTTGTAAATGAAGTTTTTTTTTTTTTTTTTTTTCTTTTCCTAATGCCATGTACGTTCAGGACATAGATAATTATGGCTCTCTACAGATTCCCTTTCCTTCAAAATTTTCTCTTGAACTCCAAACTTGACTAGAGAACTCCATTTGCCTTATTATGTCTCCCATAGCTGAAAGAGAAGAGATTGATTTATACCTTTCTCAAGGGCGTTTATACAAAAGGGAATGCAACAGACTAGGCAGCTGGGAGCAGCCAATATAACAAAGCAGGTTAAAAGAACAACATTTTAAACATTGTTGCTAACTCGAGTTTGGTTTTTATGCAATCTATACTTGTTTTGTACACCCTGAAAAAAGATTAGTTATTATTTTTCTTAGGATAGCTTGAAGAATGACCTCCATTTCTTGCAAAAACCCTTTTCCATATTCATCTCAAAGAATAATATGCATAGCAAAGATAGTCAATGTTTCTGCTTCTGTGCAGATGATATAAGTCCCATTGCGGACATTTGTATTTCCTGACCTGTTACGTGTTTCACTTTTCTCCTTTTAGTTGGTGCTGACTCTTTGGTCATGTTCTAGGAGCTGAAAGGCTTTGTCTCCATGATAAGGCCCTCATCTCTCCATTGTGGCTTGTTGCCTTTGTTAACAGCTTCACCTCATTAACATACTTAGCTCATCTCACCTGATGCTGTTTTACCTCCCAGGACGAATCAGACGAGTTTTGGTGTCATGTCAAGTCTCCTCTCATCCACCCGGTTGGCTGGTCACAGCATGTTGGTCACAAACTCACTGCCTCAGCAGGTAAGTATATATTCTCATTTAGTGAGATTTGTCCTATCAAACTTTAAAAAAATGAATAGTTTCTTTATTTGAACATACTGTTTCTTTTATCTCTCCGTTGATTAACTGTTACTACAGTATAAAAAGGTATTTTTCTTTTATTATTGTATATTTGTTTTTAACGTTTTGGACTGTTAGGAGTTTAGATATTCTATTTGAAACAAAATTGATAGAATTATGTTGTTTTTAAAATGCCATTTTGTCTTAACCACTTAAGCAACTAACATTTTTTGAGGAATTTGTTTAGGGTCTCTTTCTTGTAGCACTGAATTGGACAAGACAATTTGTAGATGAAGGTAATAACGGTTCTGGTGTGGCTGATGGTATACTTTGCTGAAGTTACACAAAAATATCTTGTTCCAAGTGGTTAATATAAAGGCTGTATTATAAAGTATTCAATATTAGTAATATAAATATGAGAATGATTTTAGTTTAGTTTTTCCTCTTTTCCTACCATGCACTTTTTGATGGAAAAGTGATGTGCAAACAAAAAAAAACAAAAAAAAATTAGTCTAAGAGCAAATTTTATTACCATAATCTTTGTGCCCTTAGGAAAATAATTGATATAAAAATTGTGTTGTTTATATATAACCATAAAGATTGGTTTGAAAAGTTGAAAAACAATGTTTTAAAAATTTGTATGAAAATGCTTTTAAGCAAAACACTCAGATTTCAAAAATCTATCCTATGTGCTGTCTCCCTTCAGGATTTGGCTGATCTTGGCTCTTCACAATTTTATCTTATTTCAAAACCATTTTCAGTATTTTATTTATAAATGAATTTATTTACTTTTTAAAAATAAGTCAAACCACCATTAATTGTATGAAATCTTAAATATTTTTTGGATGCTATAACAATATTTACATTTTAATAAATTTCTTGAAAAAACTAAGTTAAAATTTTAATTAAAATTTCAACTGGAAATATATCTTGAATCTGAAGATATTTTTTCCCCCTAATATTTATTATTCCCCCCCTCTCTCTCTCTCTCTCTGGCCAATTCTAAAACATTGTCATTAATAACTCTTCTGATAATAAAAACAAAAGTTTAATAAAATCCAATGAACTGGAGATTTTTAATTAAAAAAAATTGTAATGTTTTTAATACACACAAAAAAATTATGTAATTAGCATGTATGAAAAACCATTAAGAAATAATAAAATTACCCCCTTTGTCTACCCTTAATGCATACTAGCTTTATTTGTACAAAGAAAATATTTGTCATATTTGATTGTCCATATTTTAACTGTGCCATGAGACATTTATAAATGTTAGTGGACCTTAACATTTTGGTCTATTCAAAGTAATTTTGATATTATCACAAAAAAAAAAAGTCTAAAATCTACTCTAAGTATATAAAAGTATCTTTTTTCTTATTAACTTCTCTTTTCTTATAATTTAAACCATAAAGTTATCAATATGTTTTAAAATTAAAAGAAAAGCTCTGGAGTTATCTACCATAAACAATCTCAATTTATTGTGTATTGTGTCCTTGCTGTTTTTGGAATTGTAGCTTCTGGTACTATTTTTAATTCAGCAAAAATCATAAGAATAACTTCCCAAATAATTTTTTTGACAGCTCAGTTACTCTTAAAGAACAATATTCAGTCACTTAAAAAAATGTCTGTACTGAAATGCCTTTTGCTTTGCAGAGTACAAGAGTAAGTGTTTTACAAAGCTGGCAACCCAGAAATATGATAGTGATGACGGTACACCACAAATGTTTGAAAAGGTAACTTTATTTGAAAAGAAAAATTCTTTATTACTGTTGATAAAGAACTGGTCAATTTCTAAAGAATTAACATCGAAAATATAGAAGCAGTATTGTCCTTTCTATATTTGTCAGTTAATGCATGTTTGTATGGGGGGGGGCGTAGTTTAGGGTACATTTTCTTTTTGCCAGTATCAATTCAGCAAATAGCTTCCAACATTTTGTAGATCAGACGGACTTTGATTTTTTTATTGGCTTTCAATTCCTTTATTTTTAAGGAACCTCATCCACCTAGTTATACCACAAGGGCTTTGCTCATTTGCAATATTAAAACTAACAATTTTATTGAATGCATTTACTGTAGCACTTTTCATCAGAATATTGGTAAGTTTATTTTCTCACTTTGATTTCATGCAGGAATACATTCCCTTACAGTTTTTTTGTTCCAACATAAAGAATAATAATAAAAAAGTAAAAAAAAAAAAATGTATGGCATATATATATATATATATATATATATATATATATATATCAGCTTGATACAAAGTAATTCATAGGTGCCTAAAATTTGTCTTAGCTTACCTATATTTTCTGTTTATAATCAAAGGCAATTCTTTTATTAAATTTCTTCTATATTATTGTTTAATTTTAGGAAAAGGAGCCTCCTCCTGGAGCCAAATTTCAAGTAGGCATGAAGCTAGAAGCTATAGATCCTCTTAATCTATCAGCCATCTGTGTTGCTTCTGTCAATAAGGTAAATTCTTCCTTCTAGGTTTTTCCCTAATAATGTTTCACTGTAAAATTATTTTAAATTTAGATTTCATAAAATCACTTTAAAATGTTCATAATTATTACTTGTAAATATACTGTAGTCTGCAATAAAGCATTTCTCGCAAAATTTTTCTTTCACACAGATTTATTACTTAAAATCTTTTTTTTTTTTTTTTTTTAAATCTAAAATCAAGATATTGATATTATCTATGTACTTTTATTTACATGTAAATGTATACAGTCACTTGTGTGTGTGTGTATACACATAAGGTGTAAAAAAAAAAAAATATATATATATATATATATATACCAACTTTTTGGGTTAGTTAGACCTGAATATTTGATCAAATAACTAGAAGCTAAATTTTGAGAATGATTTTGATTATGGTTAATACAACTATCACCAACCATTTCTATTTGTCTTTTCTCTGAAATAACATTTATTTCTTTGAACTTTATGCAGGTGTTAAAAGATAATTTCCTCATGATTGGCATTGATGGATCATTAGCTCAGAATGGTTCTGATTGGTTTTGTTATCATGTTACATCTCCTTGTATTTTCCCAGTCAGTTTCTGTGAAGTCAACAACCTTGAACTTACCCCACCTCGAGGTTAGTATAACTTATCAGTATCATAAATCTTTTTTCTTTCACAATTTTTTTATTCTTTGCAGTTATATTTTACATTATTTTCATACTGATTAGATTTCTAACTTTTTTTTTTTTTTTGCGTGTGTTACCTTTTTATGTATGCAAAGAAAGATTTTTCTTATTCTTAAAAAAAAATACTTTTGTTTATTTTAATGCAAAATTTACAGCATTATTTGTTATTTTAATGTTTGGATCATTATTCAGTCCTCAAAGTATTTTTATGACATTGTCTTTATGCGACATTTCTACAAAGTTGTTTTCAATCATAAATAAATGATTTTGGTTTGGAATTAACTTTTTAAAGTATTTTCCATTGTTGATTGTTGGAAACATTGATGTGACAAGTGTTGCATAGAGCAAAACAAGTGATTGCTTGAAAGTGGGAAAAATATACCCACATGTTAAAGAACTTCCCACTCTAATTCTGTTATGTTTTTCTGTGTCTTATAACATGAGGACAGGAATTGTCATGCAGTGAAAAACACCAACTTCTTTACCTAGAAAAATGTTATTTCTCTTCCAATTACCTTTGAATCATACTGAAGAAAATGTTCCCCACTTCCACTCAAAATTGATCTAATCAGAATTTTCTTCTAGATTCTTGTAATGAAAATCCACTTGTGGACAAAATTATTTAAACATTTTAATGCCTTTTTCCATATACTTGCTGTTGTTAACACAATGTTTCAGATGATCTATTCTTCACTCTTCATCCAGCTGTATTGTCTTAAAAACAACTTTTTGTTGAAACAAAAGGATTATCTTAAAAAGAAAAAAAATGATGACAAGTATTAACCATTAACAGCCAGACCAAGTGTTAGGTGCAAGTACCCAAGTGTTTCCAAGTTATACTTGGAGAGGAGTTCCCCAAAATCCATTTTACTAAGCAAAGAAACTCCTTTTTAAAGTTTATACATTTCGACTTTCAAAAGAAATCTAATTCAGCAATATCTTAATGTAATTAAATATAGTTATATTTTTCTTTTTTCTCTGAACAAATTTACATCTTGAGCTAGTCTTATCTTTAAAGAAAAAATGTGTTCTCTAAGAAATCTTCACATTTACATTGGGACCTCATTTAGTTATTTATATATGAAATATCAAATAAAATAATGGCTAAACTGAGATCATGATTTCAATATAAACGATAAATTCTTTGTTGATTTATAATTAATCTCTTATCAAGAGCACTTGAAATCATGAATATAGTTTGTTAGATGGAAATAATTAGAAGCTAAAAATTTTGAATGGTTCAGATAATTTGCAAATAAAAAACAAAAACTTCAAAGACTGTGTTTGCATATTTGTTTAGTAATTAGTTTAGTTTAATAATTGCTTTTTTTCTGTAGGATACAAGACACAATTCCAGTGGTTTGAATATCTTAAACAAACTAATTCAGTTGCAGCACCTGTCAAATTATTTGATAAGGTAAGTCTCTATAGGTTTTTATTGATTTTAGAAAAATTCTTGCTATTATAAAAAAAAAAAAAAAAAAAATCTCTTTATCTACAGTACAATAAACAGGATATTGAATATGATAGCTTCTGTTACAGATATTCATTTTAAAAAAAAAAAAAATTTTCTAATTACTCTCTCCGCCCCCCCCAAAGACTATATAAAGCCACTAAGATGAAAGAGTTTAATGAGTATGAGAGAATAACATTGCATTTCAATTTTTGACTGGAGGCAAAAGCCGGTAGTAAGAAGTGTGAGAAAAGTAACTGTTAGCCTAGAACTTAGTTACATTTAGCCATTTCAACTGTAAAAATGGTGAGACCTTACTGCCAATCTAGTACTGCAATTAAATTCATAAAGTCTAGATACCATAGCAGAAAATTAATCAGGACAATTACCATGAAAGTATTGATAGAAAAGGCACAGGGAAGCTATGTTACAGCAGTGATTAAAGCCAAGATTTTAGGTCAGGATCAATAACATAGCAAATTCTTTGGATTTTATAAAGAATTTTTAAATGCATAGCAGAAGCACCAGACCAGATGTGAAAGCAATATTCGCTGCATGGATGAATGGTAGGCTTATAAATATGTAAGATTCTGGTGAGAAAAATTGTCTCGCATGACACAGTGAACCAACTTTCCTAGCAGCAGACTTAGCAATTGTGTTAATATAATCTTTCCACTTCATGTCAGCAGAAAACATTGGCCCAAGAAGGCACGATGTGTCACTCACCTGGAGTTTGGCATTAGTCATGTTTATAGAAAGTAAAAAGGGTTCTCTCAGACAATTAAAGAAGAGCAGTTTTGTTTTGCAGGCATTAAAACTAACAAACCATTCCTTACCTCAGTTAACAAAATATAGGTCATTTGTGAGATCATCTGCCAATTTGACCTTATTGAACCAATTAGACTTGCTATTAAGACAGGAGTAAATAGTTGTGCCATCAACATAGATACCAAGTTGAGAACCAATGACATCAAGGTCATTGATGAAAATTAGAAACAACATAGGTCCAAATATAGAGCCCTGGGGGATACCTGCATTAATGCAAAACAATCTAGAAGAGTGACCATTCAAGACCACTTTCAATTTGCAATCAGCATGTTAAACTCTTGAGATATCCAAATCAACATCCTGAGCTTTGCCATTCCTATCTAAAGCTTCATAGACTCTTTCAACAATAACCAATAATACATCAGCTGTTGACATAGGGTCTTTTTTCAGATAAGCAATATGGTTTTCACTTCTCTTGAGATGTGAGATGCTTAACCATTTCAGAGTTGATGAGAGCATCTAGTACATTGCCAAAAAGAGGTGGAAGGTTAATAGGCTGATAGTTTGACATCCTCTTTAAGGACATGTTTGCATTTGTGAGAAGATCATCTGTTACGATTGGAACTATCAAAATGGTACAGCTGGAAAAAGTGATTCCTGTGAGGTATGGTGGCTGAATAGGCAGGTATGAACCAAGTAGATGATTGTGGTTTCATCTGGTATTTCCGAGAAAGTACACATGCATTGATGCCAGCTTTAGCACAAGATGAAACCTTTATGGCCCAATTCTCAATAAGAAGGTTAAGAATATCAATCCAAGAGGAGTCTCTAAGAAAGTCATGAAATAAATCCCAATCATTTTTCTGGGGACAGAAAGTTCCTATCTAATAGCATACTCAAAAGAAATTATCAATAGATATTACAGTGTGATCCAAATTGCTAAGAGGATAGAGTAGCACTGCTTGACAAAAGCTAAGCACGGAGGTAATGAACAAATCAAGTATAGAAGCATGTTGTTCAGAATTATTAGAGAAATGAGTGGGAAAGTCCACTATTTGACTGAGAGACTGAGCAATGGAAAAATTGAAAGTCAGAATACCAGCAACATTAATAACAATTTTTTTTTTTTTGTTTGGTAGTGCAGGTAACTTTTATTACCTGACATGAATAATTCCAAATGCTTGTAAAATTCATAATACTTAAACTGTATAAAAAGATCTATTGACTAAACAGCTAACATGTCAGATCTCATTGTCTCACCTCAGTATTCTACACGGAGCTATTATCAGAGTTATTAGTTCACTTACAATTTTTGCAATATCATATATCTAGAGAAATACACACACATGCTTTTCCTCTCTTGGATACTTAATTATTATTAATTCTAGTGCTACTACTATTACTACTAATAAAATGTTGCTGTTTTCATTTATTTAAGGAAATTCCAAAACACAATTTTAAACTTGGCATGAAACTGGAAGCTGTTGATCTGATGGAACCCAGGTAGATTTTCTTTCACTTTATTATTCTAGGGAAGCTTACATACCTCTTGTTTGCAGGCTAATGTGAGAGAAATAAAGGTCTTATTTTTGATAAAATCAATGTTTACTCCATTTTATATCAACATTTTCATCTTTTTATAGCTTTAGTATGGGCAATTAATCCTTAAGTATAATCTTATTCTCTTTGTTGTAGTTTTAAACTTTAAGAATTTATGCTCTTTCAATGAATTAAATGCTACCTCTTTTGTCCACTCTCAAAATAGAGAATTGGGGAGATTAGAAATAATTAGATATTTCATAGCCTAAACTGATAGATTTCTTTATACTATATTGCATTCATATTTCTATGCATATTTTATTCCCAAGAGGAAAGAAAAAGAACTTGGAAAAGTTGAATAAAAATAATGTTCATTTCAGTAAATAATAATTTTCAACAAATTTATTTAAAAAAAAAAAATTCATCAATAAAATGTTACATAGTAGTTTTATAGACCTTAATAAAGTCTTTTGTCTTTAAATTAGTTGCTTTTATAAAATAACTGAATTTAATAAAATTAGTTCATTACTTTTAATCATTTTATTGATGAGTGTTAGTCTTGCTTTAAAAATATATTCTGTGCAAATTACTATTTGAATTATTTTATAAACAAGTTAAAATTCTATTTAATCAAATATATACATATAATAATTTACTATTATACTCCAATCTATATAGATTCATGTCTTCATCTTGGTTGTTATAGTCACACCATTTTTGGCTGGTGCACTCTCCAAACTTCTTCAAATATCTGTTGTATTTGGTAAGCTACTTGAAATTTTGAACAGAGACCTTTCTTCAATCCATGCTACAGGATATCATGTCATATTTGGTAGTAAAAGCAACTTCATAAGTAAAAATTGACTAAAAAGAATTTTACTGTTACAAAATATCTTGTAGCAAAAAAAAGCCTTGAACTTTTTTGTTTCTTTCCTTGCAAACAATGCCTGCAATCAGTTTCCTCTCAAACACTCTACTGTCCACATATAACCTGTTTGACACAGTAGTAAACTGTCCTGCCTGTTGCCTCATTCTCTGTTTTTATGTATCATTTACAGCCAAAATTTACATATGCACAAAGATAAACTCATGAGAGAATATTTGACTCTGGGATCTATCTGTTTTAAATATGCAATCCGCGAAGCCACCATTTTTGTTTTCTTTGGACAGTTTACACGTTTATGCTGGAGATAGGTTGTTTTATTCTAGCATTCTAAAAAAAAATGCATGCAACCCTGAGCCTCTTTGCCCTCTGCTGTAGTTCACTACACTCCCCCTGATTTCATGATTACAGCAAATGCAACTACATGGAGGCCTCTTCTCCCAGGTATTCCTCCAATGGGGAGCAACATTAATTTTATCTTCAGATAAATCACCACTGGATGAGTCATTGGATTCTCTGTACCAGACTTTGCACTGTTGGTATCAATTGAATTGCCTGGCAAAGTTGACTAACAGCTCACTTTCTGTTGAATCACTTCCATATTCAGATAGAGAATACAACCCCTGAAAGGTACACAAGTCCTTCACATGATGGGGAATTCTGTCAACCTGTACTGATTGCATACTGTTAACCTTGGTTATGTGATCTGTCTTAAATTTGGTTGTACACCTCCCTTGCAGAGTCTTAACCCAGACAACATCTCCCTTCTCGTATGTTCCTCGAGTATTCCATGGTTCAGGCAGAGGTATCGCATCAATGCCTCATACGCACGTGATACTTATGTAGTACATCTGCCAGTGCTGTAGGCAGTGAGAGGTTGTCCTTAGGTGTGACGTTATGCCAGTAGACTGCCTCTGATATAGAGTGATGCTTTCTAGTGGCAGTGGTTTTAATCCTTCCATGACTTCTTTTGACTATACCATTCCCAGTTGGTGCATAAGCACATCAGAATCAAAGCTGCGCGCCCCAGTCACTGAGGAATTTTCTGAAATACCCACATGTGAAAGCTGTGTCATTGTCAGTTAAGATTTTAGTCGGTTCATCCTGTGTGAAAAAGATTGATGTTAATTCATTAGTGGCACTGGTAGAGTCTTGTTGACAAAGTAGTCACCATATTGCAAATCAAGATGGACCACAATCAATAAGGGTTAGGAAGTGTTCACTGCCGGTAGTGTGCAATATCCATTGCTAACCTGGTCCAGCTGTTTTTCACTCCCAGCTTTCCTTTCTGCCAGTGTACTAGCACCAGGTCAATAGATTGGCAAGCTTTACAATTTTTGATGACTGATTTTGCGACTGTTGTTGATACTGAAGCATTGACAGACCTGGCAAAATACAGTATCCTCTTCATACATGGGTGTCTCCTTTGTTGGTGGATGTTAGCTATCTGATTCTCCCTCAACTTTCTTACAGTGGCACACCCTAGTTGTACAGGTTCAGTTCCTTCCTTGTGCAGCTACAACTACCTCTGGGTTGAATGCCTCCATTTACTTCCAATGCCACTACTGTGGCCAAAGAACTGGTGTCTACCCATACCTTCATTTATGGCCACTCACACACCAGTCCCCACCACCAGGATCCATTTTGTGTACCCTGGTTACTGTCTCAACATGCAGTGGATGGAGACATTTTCAATTGTATTGTCCCATCCCTTGGACACCACACTTGCTTGTCACTTGATATAGGTGGTTGTTATTCTTAGCCAGCTACACCCAGAGAAAATGTCCCACAAATCGTCCACACCGAGAAAACCCACTTCGGTGAGTAATGACTTTGGGAATGTCCGGTTCTTTACTTCTTCATTTCCATCAGAGAGTACCATTCTCACCTCAAACATGCAGGCCCAATACTTTGGTCCTGTCTCTCAGTCTCTTTGAGTCTTTGCAATTAAGTCTATAATTGGATAGATAGTCCCTCACCCATGCATTAGAAACCAAAGCTTCGTTGACAAATATGTTGTCTATATGAGCTGATGTAGCATCTTTGACAAGATCCGGGACATGACCAAGTTGATGATAGCCTTCATATTGAGAGGTGCAACATTTAAGCCAAATCCTAATCGTGTAAGGCAATACTTCTTGCCCTTGATTAGCACGGTTTGAAAGGGCCACAATGCCTTGTCAGTGTGTATCTGTAGGTAAGTTTTTCTCAAATCTAACAGGGTCACATTTACTCCCTGCTGCCACTATTCCCTCAACTGTTGGGTGCACACATCCGTGTCAATTCTATGTAATCAAGCACTGGACAAACCTTCTGTTTGTTCTCCTCAACCACTGCTATCAACGGAATCAGGCCCTTGTGTGGACTGAACTCACTTTCAGTATATGGCAGCCATTCATTGTCTAGCCACAGCTGCAGTTCTTTTTCGTATTCATCCTGGACGTCATTTTTCAGTCTTTCAGATATTTGACCACTGGCCCATTTCCATGAAGCAGCCCAAACTTTTTTCTGGTGGTTGAATTGCACACTAAAATCAGGTTCATTGATGGAAATGGCAGCACACTGGGGTATATCTTCCTCAGGGAAGCTGACTTCTCCCAATTTAGTGACACACATTCCTCCAAGCTCCCGGATTACCTCAATTCCCAAAAGCAGATCAAAGCCTAGCAATGCTCCATCCACAACCAGGACTTCAACATGGATTGAGCCCAACCAACATCCAATTTGACTGAGCCATACCCATGACACTTTAGCGATTTCCCATCAAATGTCAGCATACAGATCTGCTCACTAATGTCTGTTAGCAGCCAGTGTCTACAAGGGCTATGCACTTCTGTTCATCTATGAGCACTTCCAACAATTTGGTTAAAAATTTCAAATTAGTTACCAAATATAACACACATGAAGAAGTCCAAAATTACAACAACCGAATTTTGGAACTAACTAAAGCAATGTATAATAATACTTTAATTAATTTAGACAGAAAATAATTATTTTTATTAACTGTTATATGTGGTCTGTCTGAAAAGTAATGGGACTAGTGTCACAAACAATTTATTTCAATTCCAAACAACAAACCACATTGTTTCCCCTTCAAAGTAACCCCCCCTAATGTCTAATGCATTTTTCCATCCTTCTCTGCCATGCTTCTATGCACTGCTGGAAGGATTCTTCTTGGATTCCCCTCAGCTCTGTTATTACAACTTTCTTCAGCGCCTCCACACCTTCAAAATGCGTCCACTTGAGCTTGGGGAAAGGCAAAAAGTCATATGGAGCAAGAGCAAGTGAATAGGAAGGATATAGGAACTGCCAGATGCTCAGCGCATTCTGTGCAGGTGCATTGTTGTGATGAAGCAGCCACAATTTGCTCTGTTACAACACTCCTCTCTTCTTGGGCACTGAGCAAAGCAAATGCTGCAGGATCTCTTTGCAGACTTGTTGATTGATCATTTGGCCCTGTGGCAAGAACTTGCTATGGACAATGACTATAGCTCACACAGCACATCCAGTCCTGTTATTCTTTAGACAGGCCTCATATAATGATCATACCAAGTGTTTCTTGTAATCCATTTTCTTATAACTTTTAATCACATACCTTAAGTTCTTTTTATTTTTAAATTATTTCTTAGAAATTAAAACTAGGGGAAAATTTTTAACAATGTCAAAATTTGTTAGATAACAAATAAAATCATGTTCATTTTCAACAGGTTGATTTGTGTTGGTACAGTAGCCAGAGTTGTTGGTCGACTTCTGCGGATTCACTTTGATGGCTGGGAAGATGAATATGACCAATGGGTGGACTGTGAATCTCCTGATCTTTACCCTGTTGGATGGTGTGAGATTGTCTCCTATCCTATTGAAGGACCCAGAATAAAGGGTAAGCATTTTGCCACCTTCACTTATACATTGCAGTTTCAGATGTATCCATAATGTATATTTTTGGACAGAAGGAAACCCAGGGGAAAAGAATGTCAAGAAATCAGATGCCAGGCTTAGTAAGCAATAAACATTGTTTTGACTAATTCATAAAAATGGTACAACGTATGTACCATCAAAAGTACTGTTAATGCATTTGCCACAGGATAAAAAATTAGTTTATAAATGAAACAGCCAATCACTTTCATTGGTTGAATCAAAGCTGGCCAATTTGCTGAACTGAAAACAATTTCAGAACATGATGAACATTAGTTTCTTTTCTAGTCCCTGTGCAGTCAAGCATTTAATATATTCAGACAACTTCAGATGTTTTCTTAATTTTTATTTTTTTTTTATTTTGCTGCCATGTCTCTTTGGGATGTACATATCCACAGGTTCCTTTTCTTTATCAGAATTGTCATGACATCTTGTGAAAGATAATGAAATAATTTCTCTTTGCTGTCTTTATGGCTTTGAATTCAAAGAAATCATTCACTTATACTGGCTGCCACCAATCTACCTTGCCATTTAATCCATAGCTGGAGATTGAGGAAATGGATACCAAAGGGCATTTGTTTGAAAGTTAATGCAACAGGCAAGGCCACAATATGAACTCAACTTGATGATTCCTCTTTTTGAACTAATAACCATTACAATACCTGCACATCCACATAAATCCACCATAGTATCATATATTTAATTTTGTTCTCATAATCCCCAGATATGTTACTTTTCATTACATATTTTTATTACTGTTGTATTGTTACAAATAATCATGTAATTAAACTTATGTGTTCTCAAACTGTGTGTGTGTGTGTGGAGGAGATTTAAGAACACATACAAATCTACAAGACCATCTCAGTTATAGACCCAAGCAAGAAGTAACTTTGACATTATCAAGATGGTAGACACCTAAACAAAGTGATGACCACAAATGTGGTTAATTATTTATATATATCACATTGTCATGAGGCTCAATAACTTAAAGTAGATATTGAATGAGTTCATCTAAGTGATCAATATAGAGCTCACTCAAGATCTAATGCCAAGAAGTTTCTAGTGAATATTTTATCCAGCTGTGATTATGATGGATACTGAAGATCGTGTAGGTATTTCTTATAGACTGATTCATTCAGATTATTTATTGACATGTCATAGCATTCCATTACAAGTAGACTATCCTTAGCTTACTTAACAATCTGTATGTTTCTCTTGACTTTTTTTTTTTTTTTTTACACTCTTTGGTGGACATGATTTTATCAGAGATAAGGATGACAGATGCAGTACATGATTGCACCACTGCATCAGATGTCTCTGCAATAAAGTGGCAAAGCTAGCAATTATGTTCTCAACTGGTTTGTGGCTGGCAAATAAAGTACAGGTTTTCTTTTCCTTTGTGTTTCACTTTCACATGGAATCTGCTAACCACTGATAGGACTATATTTCATCTGGAAAGAGATGAACATTTTGACACTGTTTATTATAGATCTGTACACAAGTGAATCTGTCAGGATTTGCTGATGTGAATTAACACTTTCATAACATAAGACTTGTTTTGGGTGATAGATAATACTGCTATCACCTTTGACTCTGAGGCATCTAAGATTATCAGAATATGATCTCTACAGCTAAGAATGGTAATAATTTTTGCCTCCGTCAAGTATTGTTAGGAAAGTTTAAATGGTGAGATTAGGTAACTGGATTACTGAATCTTATCAGATACCTTTTTGTTTGGCATGAGGTTCTCCAGGAAGCCCAGGACATCATATGAAGGAATTACTATACTTAAATGTTTCCAGGTATGACCTTAACTACCTCTATTTTAACCAGAACTTCAACTTCTGTTAAAACTGACAGGCAGTGGAGGCTGGATCGAGGTATACCCCAAGACCAAGTCTATCCAAACAGTGATGACATGACAACACACTGTTTTCTGAGCCAATAAGCAGAGCCCACTCAAAGAAAAAATAAAGTACATTCTTACAAACTGTAACTGCCTTCTGGTCATCACTTATTTGTCATATTGCTTTCACACAGCAAATTGCCTAAGGCTCAACACCTGAATTCAGCTTCAGTATGAGCCATACCTATGGTGCCTTTGCTATAGACCTTAATTCTCCTGAACACAATGACTATGCTTCGTTGATCATCAGCCTGTATGTAGATGTAGGGTTAATCTTTACTAAGTACTTCTAGTTTCCAACAGTGTGGAGAATTTGGTTCACATCAAGCTTAAATGCTGGCTGTAGTTTTTCAGACAGACCTACCTTTCTAAGTGCTGTAACTAAACTCCTTTTTCTAAAGAGCTCATAACCAGAAAGCTGCGACTTAAATACTTCACTGTAATGTTGATGTCTTTCGGTTTCTGTTGCATTGTTCATTTTAACTTGTCACATGTTGGCTGTTGTTCTTGTGTGGATCTGTTATGGAGAGGTATGTGGCCTTTCTTCTCTGGAGTTAATGTGGATCCTATATTTCTTGTAACTTGTAAGAGTCTGCTCTTTCCATAGTAACTAGCTATTGTTCTGTTATCAAAAGCTTGTTTTAAACTTCATGTTAATCTCTCTAAATTATGTGCATAACTCTTCTGAGATATAAGCATGTAATTAGTAGAATCAAAGTTATTGTAGCGAGCAAATAGATTGGCTTTGAATTCACTCAAAACTGCAAGCAAGAGTTAGTCAAATCATTATTACTTCATGTCACTTGATAATTATAGAAGCCACAGAATTCTTGATGACTGTCATAACTCCATCTGTAAAAACAAGAAAGTGAATCTGTCAGGAGTTATTTTCAAGCTATTAACAAGACACTCACAAGATGGTGACTTGCAGCAATCAGCTCTTTCCACATTGAGTTGTTCGGTTATATAAGGATCCTTTCACTGTCTACGTTCTTTTCCTGAAACCATATGTATATAGACAGATGCAAATATCATTCAGGTAAAAGCATTATGAACTATGAAGTGACAAAGTTGGCTATACTACAGAGTTGGAGCTGAAGAAATGTTTTTTGTTTGCTGTTTTACTTTCTGTTTGTCTTTCAAGGTTTGGTTATTTACTGACATTGGTGACCATGTGTAATTATTTTTCACAAACTTAATGTTTCCATCTGTGGCCACAGTAAAAAGTTCTCTCACCAATTTTTGAAGTCAACAGGAGTCTCCTTCTGTCTGATTTTTTCCACTTAAGTGCAAATCACTACACTAAGTTGGTTGTTTGGTTTGTAGATCAAGCAATCCAAACAGATTATTCCTATCACAAGTACAGTGGCAATTATCCTGTTACTGTTATTACATATTTATAGGTTATAGTTAAATGCAACTTTAACATTTGTATAGGTTTTTACCATGTTTGATGAGACAAGGAATGTTGTATTTATATAGGAACTCTATGTAGTTATCAGTGTTGCACTTGTTTTATCAAACTTATTCCTCACTTAAGTCAGTTGGGTATTGAATTATAGGTTCAGTGTTTTATATGTAGCAAAACAATTGAGAGAAAAAAATTTTTTCTCCTTTTTGCTTTTCACCTTACATTTAAAGAAATGAACAAAAGCAATTAAAATGCACTTGCTATTTTTAAAATGTATTTAAATTTGGAAAGTCAGGTTTAAAAAAATTGAGATTTTGAGAAAAACATTGAACTTCTGAACTTAATGTCTTACATTTGAGATGTGGATGTAAACTAAGCATGTAGCATTTTCTGATATTTTTTTTATTCAAAATAATATGGGTGTGATGCATTTGTTTGTTCTTTTTTCATCTGAAACTTTTTGCTGTAGTAGAGTTATCGTCTTTGCTCTGCCAATGATAGTGGCTGTCATATTACTGACAATGTTAGATGTTTAGGAAACTGGGAGGTAATCAGCTAACTCTATGAAAACCCAGAAGATAATAATAAATGGAAAAACATTTAAAGGGTTACTTGTGAAAATCTAATAATTGTAAATCTTGCTAACAGGAAGCTAAATTGTGAAATGGTGAAAGATTCAAGAAATTAAGTACATGATACCTACAAATATGTGCACTTAATAAGAGACTGTTATAAAATGTTTTAATTTCTTAATACATCAAATGTCATAAGAGAATTTTATATTCTTAACAATAATGTTTTTTTTTTTTTTTTTTTTTTTTTTTTTTTTTTTTTAGGTTTTCTAACTCTGATTAGTGAAATGCTTATGATACCCTTTTATAGTATTCATTAATAATGAATAGATAAATAAAATTTCTTTCTTTCAGAATCTCCAACTGTGATGTTGCCTTCTTCTGTGGCCAATCGGAAGAGAAGAGGGAAAGCACAAGTTTACAAAGGTCCTCGCAAAAGTAAGTTTTCCTCTGGTATTTACCAAAGGTTATGTTATGGCATCCTTTATCCACAGTTGTTATAATTTATCAGTGAATAAAAAATGTTTTAAATTACAACTTGAATATTTATAACATATTTAAGCCCTATAAATTGCAAAATTTTATCTTTTTGTGCATATAAGAAATTCTATTTCTATTTTTTCATTACTGATGTTAACACTGAGGGCAACAGTCTGTTTCATGCTTGAACACCTTCTTCAGATGTCCTGAAAATTGCATTAAAACCTGAAACCATGTCACCAGTCAGTGTTGACTTCAGTGCTCATGTCTTATATTTATAAACACACTATCCCAGATATTGACCACTTTCACCCTATAGATAGAGCATACCTTAAAACTATTATATATATATATATATATATATATATATATATATGAGAGAGAGAGGGTTGTCTAGAAAGTTCACACTGATTTTTAGTTGTTCATGTTAGAAAACATCAAATTTATCAACATATAATATACTTACATTTCCAATTAGAGCACACTTGAAACTATCTCTTGAAAAAGAAAGTTTAAAATTACTTAATTTGTGTCAATTTTGCATCCCTATGGAAATGGAAGATTATAAGGTGCATTTTACACACTTTTTTTTTTTTTTTTTAACCATATAAGCAAAAATGCCTTGCAAGCAGCAAAAAGATATGTGCGGTGTATGGTGAAGGCGCTTTAACTGACAGAATTGTATAGAAGTGGTTAGCTAAGTTTAGAGTTGGTGATTGTAGTCTTATTGCTGAGGAACACTCAGGTAGTCCCCCTCCCCCCCCAAAAAAACACACACTACTACAGAGGACAAACAAATCAAGGCATTGATTGAAAATAACCCACATTACACAACATGGAAATTAGCAGAAACCAAAAAAATTATCAAAATCCACCATCCATGAGAACTTAGTGAAGCTTGGGTACTACATGATCTGAGTGAAAAGAATCTTTTGGATCACATTTCATCTGTGATTTGGTGTACAAATGCTATGAAAATGCAAATTGTGACAGGTGATGAGAAATGGATCATTTACGACAATGTTCAGAAAAAAAATACCCTGAGGTAAGCGACATGAACCAACTTTAGCCACCTCAAAAAGCAGGTCTTCAACCTAAGAAAGTCATGCTATGCCTCTGGTTGGATTGGAAAGGAATCTTGTACTATGAGCATCTGCCAAGTAATTAGTCAATTCATTCTGAGAAGTACTGCTCACAAATGGATGAATTAAAGGCAGCAATTCAAAAAAAAAAAAAAAATGCTCAGAATTGGTAAACAGGAAAGGTGTTTTTCATCAGGATAATACCAGATCACGTTTTTTTGGCAACCCAGCAAAAATTGTTGCAGCTTGGCTCCACCCTCCAAATTTTCCAGACATTGCTCCTTTTGGATTTTCATTTATTCAGGTTTTTGTAAAAATTTTAATTCTTTGGATGATATAAAAAACCATCCTAATGAGATTTTTGTCAAGAAACCACTGAAATTCTGGGAAGATGGAATCTTTAAATTGAAGGAAAAATGAAGTTGTGCAACAAAATGGTTCATATTTGGGACAACTAATATATATATATATATATATATATTATTTATTTAGGTATAATTAGGAACATTTAATTAAGATTCTTTTAATAATTTGGATTTGTACCAATTTTTGTAAGCATCTAAAATTTGAAAAATTAATTTTATCACCAAATGTATTTATTATAGTGTTAAATTTCTTTCAAACTGGGCAGATCCTGAAATTCAGGATATTTTTTGTGCTGTTCTTTTCTGTTAGTTCATAAAATATATAAAGCATAGTGTTTAGATAATGTGCAGAATTAAAAAAAAAAAAAAAAAAAACTTGAGTGATACTTTCATGTTTAACATTTGCAGAAAGTAATATATGATGGAGAAATTTGCTGATAAGTAACTGAACAATTTTTTTTAAGAACACAATTTCCAATTAAAGGTTAATTTTGTGATAAAAAGAAATGTTGAATAAATGAAGATCAAGGTGAGGAGAAAGATATGATTTTTGAAAGTGAAATGATTATTTAAATAATGGCCCTTTGAAAGTAAGGAAAGAAATAATTGAGAAAGATGATTTAAAAACGAATAATGAAATACTTTTTAAGATTACAGTAAGACTTAAAGTTGAGTTGTTTTTTTTTCTCTTTGCAGAGAGAAAGCCCAAACTAGCCACACGCCCCCAAGCCCAGAATGGGTCCAAGAATAACAGTAGTAGTAATAGTGGTGGTGGTAGTAGTGGAGGTAAATCTTTACTGTCCAGTTCTTGTCCACCCCATGTGCAAATGTCTTCTGAGGCTGTGGCTGCTGCTTTACCACCTCTACTAGACAATAGCAATACAGACTCTTCTTTGGAGGCATCTGACCTCAAAATCAGATCAGGTAAGTAAGTCTCTGATCATTAATATTATTTCATTTGTTAAAATATAATACTTTGAGAGGTCAAAATATATCTGATTTTTAAATTTCTAATATAAATAGATTATTATCAATAACATCAACTATAAACATGGTCAAAATGTATTGACTGTGTTTGGAAAATAAACAAAACATTCCCATAACTCTACACATTCACTTAAAATAAAGTTAAAAAACATCCTTAATAATGGCTAAAAAAATAGTCAAAAGTTCTTGAATATACAGAACATTTGGACAATATTTTCACACTTTAAAAAAAAAAAAACTTATATGGGCACTATAAAAATGAAATAAAAAGCTTAACTTCAGTACCTTATCACTTGTCTTTAATAAAACTTGTATATTTTATTGATTTATTAAGTATATTTTGTTATTAAGTATTCCACATTGTCATTGATTTACCTAACATTGTTCTGTTATATAAAATTTATTTATCTTATAACAAAAAATGAATATTTTTATATACCAAGAACAGTCTAAAGGGGGAAAAGTTGACATGTGATGAATTTCAGTTTCATTCTTTAGAACTTCATTAGACTAAGTTTGTTTACATTGCTGCATGAACAAAAGATTCTGAGAATTTAAAAATAAAATAAAATCCTGAATAATCATCAGATTCTACTTCAGTGGATTCAGAATTTACAGCCCTCAATATTTACATGAAGAGAAAAACTTTGAAAATACTTTCAAGTTCCTCTAATTTCTTAATTATTTCATACTCAATGCAAAACAAAGACTTAAAATATTCCTAAATAGAAAAAAAAAAATTCTTTCCTGACAAACTCCCAAAATTAAAAAAATATTGTTCTACTCACCAACTCTATTACACAACTATAATTGAAAAGAATTTATCTAAACTTGACATAAAATTTGTCACAGCCATGCCTAAAACAATAAGATTCAATACAAAACAAAATAGTAAGCTATAATTTGAAGGAGGAATATACTCTATTACTTTTAATAATTGCCACAAGGAATAAATCGGAGAAACCTCAAATAAAAGATGATATGAACACAAAAAGGATCTCTTACAAAACAACACATCAAATGCATTAGTTACTGACCACAATTTTGATTTAAAAAAAAAAAAAAAAAGCTACTCTAATTAAAAGGAAAAAATGTTTAAAAAGTGCTTTATTTGTTAGTTCATCCACTTTAAGTTTGCATCCAAGTTCCTGCGTTTCACCTTTCTTGGCAGATCTTCTATTATCCCAATGTGGGATGTTTAATAACAAAAGTGATGGAAACATTAAAAGAAAAAGAATCTAAATGAAATCGGCTAGATTATATGCCCAAAACACACAAAAGTTTTTTAAATTTAAAGTTCCAAACGTGCCTTATTTGTACATGTGTAGTCGCAGCAACATAAACTTATTGTAATGAAGTCCTAAAGGAGAAAATGCATCAGATTAAGATGTTTACCACTTTGTTATATATATATATATATATATATATATATATATATATGTGTGTGTGTGTGAATGAAAATAAATCCATCTGACATTTTGTTTTAGTAAAATCTGATGAAATTGGTCAAGAAGCTGAGAGCAGCTTACAGTCTGACACACCACCTGCACTGAGTCCTCATGCGCCAACCCCTTTGTCTGAATCCCTACCAGCATCTCAAGATATGGGTCCCAAAATTGAAGTAATCCCTGCCAGTAGTGCTAGAAACTCTGGTATTCTTAATGGGACTAATAGCACCCCAACAACGTCAACTGGCTTCTTGAAGATCAAATCAGAACCTAGCACTGCTCTTCTCACTGCCAAAGACACCAACACCAACTCTAAGAATGTCACCATTACTACACCAAGTACGGTGGCAGGTCTTTTGACACTAGCATCCCAATCACCTGACCTAGCTCTTGGAGGTCAGCTCCAGACTGTCATCACCCCTAGCAGCACTCCTATTACAACGACGACAGCAGCAGCAGCATCCCACATTCCTTGCATCATTATGCAGGACAGAGAGAAAGATACTTTGTCTCTGACGGCCAAACAACAGACAATCATTCCGGAGATGTGGACAGTCAACGATGTCTGCCAATTCTTACGCATCAATGACTGCGGTTCCCACTGTGACATCTTCAGTAAAAAGGTCAGTTTTAATGTTTGTTTGTTTTTTTTTTTTTGTTTTTTTCTCATTTATTACAAACCATATAAATTTGAATGCCATTGCCACCTACAATGTAAATGTTTGTCTACATAGCCTATTCTTCGGTGGGGAGGGCATGCATTGCTCAACCTAAATATTATGAAATGATTTAATTTTTTGTACTTTCTACCACAGCTGAATATCTTTTTATCAGATATTAACTACAATTGTTTTCACTCAGCATTAGAAGACATGTTTCATGTTTGCCTGCTTTTTCCAAAATCCCTCTCTATTATGTATTTTACATACTTTAAATTTGATCTTGTAGAAATTTCAGTTTCTTTTGGACAACTATGACTAAAATTAGAAAACCTTTATATTTATTATATGTCTTTACATATTGATTAGTTTAGATATCTTGGCTGTTACATTCACAACGTTTCAGCCTTCTTCAGATGTTTATTGTAGCTGTTGAATGAAACATCAGTCCCAAAGTGAACTCTTTAACCAGATGGAACCATTCTTAGGCCAAATAACAAGAGAAGTGGATAGAAATAGAATTCAGCAAGTCATACAAGACAAACCAAATGCAGAAACTATAACAGCTGAAAGGTTACACAGTATGAGATAAAATATCCATCATTTGCCTATGAAAGTTGTCAACGTTATCAAATACCACTAAAGTACCTCTGAGGAAGCAGGTCTCAAATTTGCAACACTAAGTAAATTCCATATTTAAATCATCATAGCACAAGTTGAGGAGGTAACTTTGAAGATCCCTAAAACTCAGACTGATGTGTTAAAATAGAAAGTGAAACAAGCACTGGAGAAAGCTAATGTTCCCATAGAGAACAAAAAAAATGGTCATGAAACCCTGCAGAGTGATACCTAAATCATCATGCTGCTAGCAAAGGCAAAGTTTTGTATACTTAGAAAAAATGGCTTGCCTAGTTAGAGATGGTAGCTATGTCAAGATAAAAAAAAAAAGAAAAAGAATCTAAACCTAACAACTGAGAGGAAGCAGTCACAAATCATGAACAAGAACTAGTATTACTTCATGGTATAAACAGCTGACCTAATGTGTACAGCCTTCACAAAGACCATATTACATCAAAACAATCTACTCATTTGTCACTCACTGGGAAGTTTCTTCATAGGTAAAATTAACTCCATTGTAAATTTATTCATGAAGGATCCTATGTATGAGATTTTATTGGGGGTTTGAGATAAATTAGAATTGGACCATTTACATTATTTATGTTGTTCGGACTGTTGTTTTGATCTTTGTTGTCATATTCATGAAGTGTACACCACCCTATGGTGGTGTACACTTCAGCCTTCTTCAGGTAATTGGAATTTTGAACTGAACCCTTTATTTTGTACACTGGGGTAGATTGTTCTAGTTCCATGTGCCACACCTCTTCCGGATGTCTGAGTTATTTTCCTTTTAACTCAATTCTCCAAGTTTTTTGTTCACCACTGCAGTATCCAGGTATTGAACTCACAACTCTTTGGGTGAAGTCACTGGATAAAAGTATGGGGTTGGATTCAGTAACTTTTAGACTTTTAGATTGGGTTCAATAACTAAAGGAGTAAACTAGTTACAAAGAACTTTCAAGTTTTTCTTTAAGTTCTGAACTGAGTTGATAAAACTTTTAACAATATATCAGTAACTAATCTGATTCTTGTATCTGTTTATATAGAGTTTCAATTTCAAACCGAAACTATTTATATGCTTACGACATTTTGACATATTTACTGTCATTAACAGAAAAAAACAAAGATATTGTTTCATAGTATTCAAATAATGAGTTCTGGTTAAAATAGTTTAGACTAGCAGTAGAGCCCGGCGTTGCCCGGGGATGTAACAGTAAGAGATAGATCAAGTATCGACCATCATAAAGACTGAAAAATAAAATTGGCAAAGATTATTGTTTAAGGTTGACGGACACGCATGTCTTAATTATTTTTTTTTTTTTTTTTTTTTTTTTCGAATTGGTCAAACTCAAACAAAAACATTGTTTACAATCGTTATGAGTCTATCGATTGGTGAATAGAATTTTATTATAAACAATTGTCATGTAAATGGAATTTTTAAAGCATTCTGAATGTAAATAAAGAAAAAAGTGTGCAAGACAATAAGAAATACTACCTGCCAAAAAAAAAGTGGATGTTTGTTTTATCGGTTGAAAAATGTAAGAAATCCGGTCCCATATATAAAGGAACACACACACAACCTTGTTTCTCTTTGTCGCAACAAGGGGTAGTAAATAACATAGATAATTTTTAGCACGTTTTTTTGTATTTACACACATTAATTTGGAAAATCTTGCAAAAATAAAAATAATTGTCAGATGTTAATGAAACTTTCAGAAACTATTCACAGATGATCAAAATTATTATAAATGTTTTTTTTTTTTTTTGTTTTTTTTTTATTAAAGTCATGGCAGAAATATTTTTTTATATTTATTAACACCCCCATAACTAATTTTATGAAAAACTCTAGAAATTCGAGACCATCGGTTTTAGTGATTACAATAGTTAAAAGCACAAGGCTTTGAAGAATGCAAATCTTTTTTTTTTTTTTTTTGGCCAACTTACCTGAAAATCAGCTGTGAATTGTAACATTCAAAACTCAATAAAACAAATATATTATTTAGTTTCAAATGCTTTTATTTGTTTTAATTTGTTTTTATGAATATGGACAATATTTTCTGGAAGCAAAAAATTTTTTTCAATGAAAATTGAATTTTTAATACAATTATTTCTTATTTCTTTAATTTTAAAAAGATTTTTAAAAAAATTTTAAATTGAATTTTTAAAAATATTTTAACATTAGTTAAATGCAACATCAACCTTTCAAAATGTCCGTGTGAGATTCTCATTGTCTAGCGCTTTGAAAATTGTATAATTTGGACCAATCAGATTAGCCATGGTAATTAAAAATGTAATTTTTGTGTTTATAGTCGGACAGTAATTATCAAGTACGGAAGACCAACCAGAATACAATTTAGTTGCATTATTTGAGTTCAGCATTGTTCTCCGCTGTTAAGCCCTTTACTTTTTATGAAACACGTATGGAGAAGTTAATTTGAGTTTTCAATTTCAACTGAGAAGGGTACCTACAAGTAACAGTATCATCTTATGAAATTTAACTACTGCTAAACTTTAATTTATATGATCTTATTTTTATATTAATCTCAGTTATGACATTTTTCCATAAATGAAATATCAAAATTAATAATAAAATGAATGGAAATACAAATAACACAGTAAAATGTAATAAATGTACATAAAATTATAGTATTTTTTTATGTACACGCTTCTGATAAAATTTCATAAGAAAGGTACCTAAATTAATTAGATACCTTTTTCTTATGAAATTTAATCTCACTATTAACAGTCTTATTTTTTAATTTCTTTATATTTTCCATAAAGCATCGTAAACGTAAAAATGAAAGCTAAGTACAAAAAAAAAAATAAAAATTAGAGCATTGAAAGTTTTCCTTAAAAAGTAACGAGGTAAATAATTTGTTCACTTAAATAATTTCACTTCCTTCCATCCGTAGAAAAAGAATTACCCTCCGTAAGTTATCTAAACATCATGAATGTGCCTTTCGTCAAGCGACGAAAGGTTATGACCTGCTTTGTTTTATTTTCAAATTACATTTTTTCAGCCGCAAAGAAGCTAAGTTAAGCTTGGTTCAAAATATTTTAAATAAACAGTATAATATCTGTTTTTATTAAAATCAGTTTTGAAAAATGATAATTGATTTTTAAAAAGAATATCAAAGTAAGATTTTAATCTTTTTTTTATCAAATCGAAAAAATGATTGAAAATGATTATCTGTCCTCTTTTTTTTTTTTTTTTTTTTTTTTTTTGACCAAAAAAAAAACAATTTTTAACGAAAATTTCAGACGTGCTAGGAACGATTAAAAAATGTAAAAAATACCCCAAAATACTTTGATCTTTCCTCTTTAATAATAATAATATGAACATTAGACGATAAAATTTTGTTTTCGTCAAGTTCGTGTCTCTTTTCATCATGCTATGCTCTTTTGTTTACATTTTCGCGGTGAGTTGTCCCCTTTTATTCTCACGATGTGTTAATCGTGTTTTCAAATTGATTTTCTTAAACAACTGTGTTTTTCCCATTTTTACTAGCCGTTAGAACCACCAAAAGGTAATTTTATGTAGTCCTGTGAAGTTTTGTTGAAATCGGCTAAAAAATGTAGGAAATTCGATCCAACATACGTTTTATAATAAGTAAGATAAGATAAGATGTATAGTCTTTTGTTTAGAAGGTTTTTTTTTTTTTTTTTTTTTTCAGAATTTAAATTTTGTTTAACTATAATGAATCTTGATATTTTGCAATTTCCTATAGGGTATTGACGGCAAGAAATTGATGAGCCTGACCCGAGAACAGATTGTCAACACCACCGGGATGAAGTTTGGTCCTTCCCTGAAAATTTATGAACTCATTCAACAACTTCGGCATCGCGTAGTGGAGCAAAGTCACTTGACTCAGAAGCAGGGGGCTCCATCCTGAGTCTGAGACAGGCAAAAAAACTGTCAACAAGTTGTGTTTGCTCATGTTAATTAAAACCAGGCTGTCCAAATCAACACTCAAATGTATAATTATATATGAGAATAGTGTGTGATACCAGCCTGAAGATCAAACCATAATGCTTCATGTCCAGTTTGTTGTTTTTGGTATAAATGAAGGTTTTTATTCAAAGTTCAGCAATTTTACATTTCCCCTCCCTTTTCTTGTTATAGAGATGAAGCAAATCTGATACATCGACAATGTTTCTTGTAAACTTTTGGCAAGAGCAAACATCACTTGTTTACAATAAGCAGCCAACATCTCGGTGAGAGGAAATGGACCCTGCCACTGGAATAATGCTATGTATAAAAGAAGAGAGAGAAAAAAAAAAAAATGAAGAAATATATACAAATATGCTTGATCATACTTTTTTTTTTTTTTTTTTTTTTTTCCACCCCTTCCGAAAACAATTTGCTCTTTCACTACTTCAGATATAAACTTTTCTGTTCCTTGACCCACCCTGAAAACTATTTTACTCATTACCATTGTGACCCTTCTTCCAGTAACAACCAACCATAATTGTTTTACAATTTTATCTAAATGTTATATTTTTTTTCTTCTTCTAAAATTTAAGGATATAAATCTTTTTACATGTTCCCATTGCCCCATCAGTGGCCCAGCCACAACCTGTTATCTTTATCTCTGCCCTTGTTATGTATGATGCTGTTATATCTGTATCAAGAAATTTATAATTCCATTTCCTCGATCTTGCATAAATTGTGCTTGGGGATGTGGCTCACTTTGGTAAAGACATTGGCTGGCTCAGGTTCAAGTAAGCATCTAGCCATCAGGCAAGTCTTTCATGCCATACCCACTGTGGGTTAGTCTTATTCATGTAACCATATTTTAATTCTGAGTTGGTTGAATTACGTTTCAGTTGAGATTGAGAGGTGGGCTTATTAAATTGAGGCAAGTTTTCTTTGATTTTCTACAACATACATTGCGACTCTCAACGGCATTATCATCTACTGTTCACTTTATTTTAATTATGGTGTGTGCATACCATAATTTATTTGATAAAAATTTGCTTGAATTGGATCTGAATCAAAAAGTCTTTCAATCCATGCCCACAGCTGGGTAGTTGTATGCTTGTAAAATATACAATGCTTAGTTCTACACATATTTGCTCTGTGTCATGACTAATCTCTCTGGTAAAAAAGGTGGTAGTTGTTTGGATATGGGGTTGAACCCAGAAGTGGGCATGTAGATCTCAGGCAAGTTTTTATTTCACTTTTATTTTTCATTATGTCCACTAGTGGTAGTTCTCTATTCATAAAGTATATCATAGCACTGGTTGTTGAACATCTACTGCCCACTTGTGATGTAGGTGTTTGTTGTCTTTGGTTTGAGACTAGAACTGGAGATCATGATGAAGCTTACTGTTTCATGCCATCATTAGTAGATTTGTTAATGTCAAATCTGTGCAACCTAATGTTATTCATAGTTATTAGTGTCTCATTTGGTAACATTTGTTGAATTTGAATTAAGCCTGAAAATGGCCATTCTGGCCTCATGCAAGTGTTTCTCATTCAAGCCTACAGTGGGTTATTTATGTACATGTAAAATCCATTTTTACTGCCTCTTGTGGCTCATTTGTTCATTTGGGTTCAAGCCTAATAGGCATTTAGACCTAAGGCAAGTCTTTCATTTCATACCCACTGCTGGTTATTTGTATACTTGTAAAATCCACAACATGCAATATGGCATATCCACTCTCTACCTTGCCTAACTTAATGGTTAAACTATCCTGCCGTTGATAAAGATAATTTTTAATATATATTTTTTGTCATGCCTGGTTGGTTGTAAAAGATTTACTGAACAACTTCCTTTCCTATGTCTAGTTCATGGGTCACTTCACAAAATTCACTCATAAACACAATACTGAATGCCAAATTTCTTTCCCTGCCCTCCTCCTCTCCCCTACATAATGTCCACTCTGGTCAATATACACGTAGCATCACTTTCACTTAGTGGTCAACCAATCAGTATAAGTGTTGTCTTTATAGTTAAATACACACCTTAAAAAAAAAAAAAAAATCATCTACAAAAAAAATATTACAAAACATCGACAAGATTTTTTTTTTTTTTCCTCTAAATCGTGTGAACTTTAAAATATCACCAGTCCATTGTATCTGGGGCATTGAGGGCTTTCCAACCCTGCCGCCCATCTACCTGCCCACCTGCCTCGCCCCTTCCCTGTCCCTTTTAACACTCATTTTCTTCCACCCCCTCCAGACTACAGACGCAATTGTTATATCCAACTTATTTCAAAAAGAAAGAAAAAAATCTATATGAATTGTTATGTCTCAGTCCATTCAGAACCACATACCACCATTTCTTTTCCACCTCTAAAAAAAATATTAAAAAAAAAACAAAAAACGAACCACTACTCCCCCCATTCCTATACTTTTATGTACATAAACACCATCAAAAAGCATACTTTCTTATTTTTTTTTCATGTGTTCTAATGCTTTTTTTTCTAATTTTTAACCTGCCTCATATTGTTAATATGCATTTACCTACCATTCTTCTTCTGTGTTTTCATGATTGCTGTAATATTTATTTTTGCTGCTAACATTGTGTATTTACAATATGGGACATGTTCTTAAAGTAATTATTTTATTGTAAAAGCTCCTATTTTGGTGTGTTACTGTTTGTTTACTCCCCTTGCTGCATACATACCAAAAAGCAAGCAAGTCAGTTTAAACAAAATTTGGCACAAGGTCATACATTTCGGGCACAATGTGAGGGTAAAAAAAAAAGCCCGAGAGTCCAATATCAATTTCATTGAAATATGAGCTGGGACTGGAGGGTTCATTTAACCATTTTAGCCATTTTTTGTTTTGCATATATAAAAAACAATTATAGGACAAAGTTTGTGCAAGAATTGACAATATTTATTTTTTTTAATTGTTGGCTTCAGCATAGGGCTTAAAACTTTTTTTGTGGGGGGGGGGTGTTCTTTTCTACATTCACTACAGTATTGTTTTGAATGAGACAGTAATCAAATGGAGAAAAAAAGCTTGTTTTTTTGTTTTTATTTAGAGATCATGTGATGAAGAATAAAACATTGATTTCTTTGCAGACATATTGTGGAACTAATGTAAAAATATGGTACAAATGAACTCTAGCATTGTTTTTTTTTTTTTTTGTTTTTTTTTCTTCTCTGACAATCTTGTTTTGCATTTTACATGCAATATAAAACGTGTGTACTTTTGGTACATAATGATACTTTTAACCTCTGATCTTTTAGAAGAAAAATCATTTTCTATTCTCTGCTGTTATTCTTTACATATCAAAAATTACCAACATGTCAATCAATGGGTAGCCATAATGATTTCTTCTGACCTGTTGACCAGGGTCAGGTTCTTGAGTTGTTGGCTTCTTAATAGATTTTATGCATACAATTTTTTTTTTTTTAATGCAGTCCTGTCTCAATATTGTTCATGATCTTTGAATTTAATATTTTTCATGTTTGTATAGATGAAATATCAGTAGTAACTTTAGTTTGATTGCCTTCTCTGTACTAAAAATCTTGTTCTTGGAACATTGGGTACATGACTTGGCTTATATCATAGGACCTTGTTATGTGGAGTTTGAGCCTTTAAATCCCACCCCCAAATATTTTGAGGGGATGCTAAAAAGTCTGATCCACTTTCCAAAATCTGATCAAATATCAGATTTTAATATTTTATGCATTTGAAATCTATTTTGCAAACTAGTTTTAACTTAAGTTTTGATAACAGATATCAATTACCAATCTACAGTTGGTGAGGTCTTACTGCACATTAGAAATTTTCCAACTGGGATAAGAACCAAATTGGTTCATCCTTGTTCATTTTTTGCCCCCAAAATAGCCACTTTTATATATATTTTCACTTACAAAATTTATACCTTTTGAGACTCTTTGTAATTGTAGTGGTATTGAAATGAGTCTGAGCTTGTGTAATAAATCAACATACAGAGATCTTTATTTTCATATGAGGCAATAAGATCATTCATAACACAGCTTCTACTTCATTCTAATCCTATTTGTATAAATTTGATTCTGTTGATCATTCGAGTTTAATGCAAAATCACATCTGTTTTGTTGCTAGCAATTACCTTTTGAATAAGATTAGTGATTCAACTACTTGAGTATGTCTATTTCTTTTCTCATACACAAGTCTTGGCTGCACCAAATTTAGTTGGTTGGCTTTTGTACCAATTCTTCAACTTTGACAATGTTATGATCCCACCTCACTGTAAGCACTCCAATGACTCCTCCTCTTCAGTCACGTGCTTGCATCTTTCAGTCTGTTTCATCAAAATTAGATAACACTGCCACAAAAAGTAGGGAGATTTCTTACAGTAGTTAACATTTATTTTAAATCTGACATCAACTAAAATACATAGGGCAAGCTGGTCTTGTTGACCATTACTACTGAGTTGTAAGTTTAATCCTTGCTGAGTGACCCATACTTGTATCCTTGTGCCAAAACTATTTACTAAATAATAATAATATACTATATAGGGCATTGAGATTTGTCCATGACATTTTATACTACAGCTCTGATATAACTAGCGGCCAGAACTGGAGACCTATTTCAAAATGTTTGAATGTTAAGCTCAGCGAAACAAAACAATATTCTTAAATGAATGACTTTTACTAATTTGGTTGTATAAAAAAAATTTCTTTTGATTTTTCTCACACCTGGCACTGTACTTTCAAGTATGACATATTTCTTATTTTGAAATAGTTTTCTCCACAGCACAATTAAGTTCCAGGAATCAAAAATGACCACCAGCATGACTATTGCAGACTATTCACAAAATCCAAGAGCTACTCAAGGCAGAGAGTTACTGAATGAGTTTGTTGTATAGACATAAAATGATAAGTTTGTGGTGACTAGAGAAGTGTCCTCTACAATGTAGCTTTTCTCAGAGAAGCTGAGTGAAAAAAAAAAAAACACTAATTACTCATCAATATATTTGTTATGGATAGCAATATCAAAAAAATATTAACTTGACATGACAAATAATGGCATTTTTAAATAAGTTTTAGTGTATAAACAAAATGAAGGAGAAAGTCTTTGGAAGAAAAGTCTCTTAAAAAAAAAAAATATCAAACTTAATACTAACTTTGAGAGTCTTCATGACATTTATAAGAAGGAAAAAAATCAGTAATCAAGATTGTTTTTGTGGTCAGAATATACTCTCTTGTCTAGGTTTTCAAATTCTTTTTTTTTAATTTCTTTTAGTATTAAAAAGTTACATTACAGAATAAAAAAAAAAAATCAACATGCTTTTTTTACTTATTAGAAACAGAAATACAGATCATGTAAGAAGAAAAAAAATGTTATTGAATTTGCTTTTATCAAAATAAATTCCGAAAAGAATATTAAATTCAAATTATATTTAAGTGAAAAATGTTAAACTTCCTAACGACAAAAACCAAAATTCTTTAAATTTTTTTTTTTTTTTTTTTTTTTTTTGCATTAAACAAAAATATCAAGGAAATAAATCTTATACAATTAAATAAGTTATTCCAAGTGTAAAAGCAGAATTTTTTTTTTCTTTCAGCTAACTACAGCAGGGAACTGTTGCAAGCTCAAAGAAACTAAAACGTTGCTCCCAGTGGGATGAGATTTTGAAATAGGCCTCCATTTCTGACACTTAGTTACACCATGAGCTGACATGCAGTATAGAACACCATGTATCTGACACAAAACTGATGAAAATTTTTATTCTACAAATTGTTGCCATTAGGCTGACTACATATTGTACAGTTTTTGGAATGGCCTCACCTGTTCTATTGCAGTCTATATCCACATTATCCCTATCAGTGTTTTAGTGTCCACCATACATTCCTCAGCATCTATTTCTGAGGCATAAATATTTTCATTGCTAAGATTATTACATCAATAGCAATCAAGGAAACACTTATGGGGGAGGATAATATGAATGTTGGCTTGAGTCTTTTTTAAATAATACAAAAGGTGCCATTTTGGAAAATGGCAAGAAACTGACATCTATTTTATCCCCACAAACTTGCAAATTAATATTTTCATATATGTTAAAGGAAGTCATAAGTCAATAATTTCACCCTTGAAAGGATTTAAAACACATGTGAATGTGTATATATATCTTTAATCTTTTGTTTCACTTAGAAATTCATATTCAAATCTAAGCTGTTTATGAATATTAAAAATTAACTGAATGTCCTAAAATTTATTTATTTTTAACCAGTGATTTAAAAGTGATTATGCAAAGATAAGGATTTGCATAGAGTATGAAATCAAATCTTTGTAGGGTGCATTTTCTAATAATTTGTACATTTAGCTGTGAAGAGGAAATTCAAAATAGCATAATATATGTCAACTGCAGACTTAATGTTTAGCCATTTTAATTGGCGTAGGGATGTCGTAAAAAACTGTTTATTACCTGGTTTCTAGTTTTAAACAAATTTTTTTAAAAAATGCTAATGTGATACTAGTTGATAAATACACAGAAGTCTAAGAAATCTAACAAATCTTTCTGAAATGACAAAGAACAAAAAGTTGATTGAAAAGAAGGAATAAGTTTTAATTTTGCATTAAATAAAAAGCTGTATGTATCACATTTTGCATTGTGAAGGCAGATGAAACGGGTAATATTTAAAAAAAAAAAAAAAAAAAAAACTCTCTTTATGAGAGAAAATCTGGATAACACAAAATGGATGTTTGTTGTTTAGGGGACCCTGTTTTCTGTGGCCATTTCTGAGAACCCCTCCTTGATTGTTGAACTGAAAAGTTGTGATGGAGGGGCACAGGGTTTGGTGGTTCCAATAAGTTTGTCTCATTTTGTTCAATACCTTTGAATGATTTGAATTCTGGGCCTGCTCTTTTCACTTGTGCTGGTCCTTGGAGCAAAGGCTATGACAAGAAAATAAATGTTTCAATTAAAATTTGCATCAAAGAAAGATATCTTATAATTGAACTGGGATGTATGAAGCATGGTTGCAGTGGGATTCCACAGAGCACATTGAAAGAGGAGGAACAAAATCTTCCTTAATATCTGCAGATATTTTATGTAAGAATCAGGGAAATCTTATTGTTACCTTTGAAACTAGATTCTATATAAACTGATGTTTCTCTTGCGTGATATGAAAAACTATTTGGGACCAGATAATTGGTGATGAAAAGTGAAATTATTACATGAATCTAAAATCCAAGACAACATTCAATATTTCAACTTAATTATCCACCCCTTTCCCAAGAGAGATTCCATTTTTCTGTTATTATAAAGAACTGAATTGCAACAAAAGTGCAGGAAATGAAACAAAACTTATGGCAGAAAACTAAGCAATTTGAAGAGCTTTTCAAAAAAAAATAAAAAATAAAAAAAAAACCTTTTTCTTTTCTTTTTTTTATCCTAGCTGTTTGGAATTTTGTGACACTATCAATGTGTCAAAACTATTACATTATCACATTCTAAACACCATAAAAAGAAAAGGTTTTTTTTTTTTTTTTTTTTTTAACTGAAATGAGGTTCGATCTTCAAGAAAGTTATAATTCCAGTTCTTTGTCAACCTTCGTTCAGTATGGTGTGTTCAGTATACCACCATACCTTAAAGCTTTGGACCAGAGGAATTCTCAAGTAAAGGTCAGATTTCTCACTGGAGCCTACATATATAAAATCTCATTGTTTTTTCACTCTCAATAACCCTTTGCATTTTAGTGGCATTAACCCATTGCTTTGGGTGAATTAATTTAAAATATATATCTCATTTTCATAATTTATCTTGACATCTATTTATATTTTTACATAAATTTTTGTTTCATTAAAACATTATTCTATAAGTTTTTAACATATAAAAACAACCCTTGACAAGTGGATCTACACCACGAAAGTGTGTAGTCAGGATAATAAAATACAGATAAATTAGTTTACAAAAAGTAAATTTTTCAATTAAAAAAAAAAAAAAAAATATGAGAAAAATCCTAGAAAAAAAATGTATCTACGAGCAGAGATCAAACCATCATCCCCTTTTAGAGGGGGAACTGCTGTTTGATCAGGCATGCTCTACTGTACATCCACGAAGGATTTCACAGTAATCTAAGTTGTTTTTTTTTTTTTTTAAATGAATTAATGTTTTTATTTAGAAAATCAGCTCTTGGAAAGCTGACATGTTTTGTTTCTTTTTTTTTTTTTTGATTGAAAGACAGATTTAAATCTTTCTTTCAAAGTTTTTAAGTAGATCTTACCTGGAAGGAGATCTTCTTTTTCCTCTTCTTCTTGACACTGTGTTGAAAGAATTGTTTGTTTTCCTGACTTTGATTCTCAAGCAGAGAAACCATTTTAGAATTGTGTTTGCAGTCCATTACAAGATTACTGCAAGTGTTAAAACGTCAAAATAAAACAGTATTAAAAATGCTACCTGCTTACAACCAGTTAACTCTATGAAATTGAAATAGTGTTAAGATTCTATTAAAGGTTTTGATGATCAGAAAGGTGGCTGTGTAAAATTGTTATTAACAAAAAGTGATATTTGAAATAACTTTACTGTGGTTTTTCTGTATCAAATTGTACAGTGAATAAAGTTTGGTACCAGGAGTTAATGTTGATAAATAATAACATTAGGTTACTTTTTTTTTTTTTTTTTTTGTAAAATTTTAGACTTCAAATTATCAATGATGAGATGTACAGACACTTCTCAAGAATTATAGATATTCACTTAAATGTTTTGTTAAATAAAATAGACAAATTATTATATTTTAAAATATTTTTCTCTGACAGATTAATTTCCATATGTTCAGACTGAAATTAAGAAAAAAAAAAACTATCCACAATTCACATCTGTGCATTTCTAGCTTTTGAATTTAATTTTTGACAATGACTGAACATTGCCAAAACTTAAATTTCTGTGATGACTATTTTAAATAGTCATTTTTAATTTTTGAATATATTCAATATGATGCTTTTTTTTTTAAAACTTAATTGTTTGTAATGGTCACATAAATTTGGTATTATAACCTAAGATAGCTCCTTGTTAATAATACAATTAAAAAAATAACATGTTGACATGAGACATCAAATACATTCCAAAATTTAAAATAACATTTAAAATGATGTGGCATCATTAAAAAAAATGACTTTTATTTCACAAAAATAAAATTTACATTAGTAGGACAAAATGTAATTCATGTAAAGCAAGTTGAATGCTTGATATTTTATTTTAACCCTATTGTACTTTGACCTTCCCTTTTTTTTAATCGTTTATATATATATCTCATATTGTTTCAGTATTTAGTAAGAAATTGAAATAGCTCAGTCACATTAATGATAGAGAACTTGGATCATGACACTTTCAATGCATCTTCATACATAGTTATATTAAAATGGTATTTTAACACTTATAACCACAATTCTTTTTACTGGAACAATGTGGGAAATGTAATACATAAATGTAGGATGTACAAACACGAAACAAAATGTTGAAATTAGTTAAAATTCAATTTCTATCATGACAGTTAAAGTAAAAAATCCAGTATACAACCATTTAACATGAATCAAGTTTACAAATGCTAAATTTGTTCTTGGAAATAAAATCATTTTCTGATGTTCATCGGTGAAATATGTCAAGGAAGTTTTCCCAATTGTCTTTAATGCATACTATTCCCTCAGATTCTCATCCAACTTTATCATTGTTTAAGATTTGTTTATATATTTAAGAGGAAGAGTGTTCAACATTGGAGATTGTAGATATAAACAGTGTGACATAGTGTGATTATGTGCTGATTCCTAACATTTGACACTATCAGCATACAGAATCAAATTCTATGTCCACAAAGTTATATAACTTTAAAGATTTATGTTACTTTAGCAATGATAATTCATAGATCACACCTTGTATGCTAGAAGGAACATTAATACTAACTAGAAAGCTATCAGATAATATTAAGAAAGTTATAGTGAGTCCTTCAACCAGTCTACTCTACAACTATACACACACACACACCTCATCACTAAATGCATTATTAATGTGAAATGTATTAATTTATGAATATCTTTTCACATGCACACCAGCATACATACATAGATGCAAACATGTTTGAACTATATGAAGTCCATTCACAATCAATGTGAGGATTTGCTACATTTTATTTTATTTTATTTATTTTTTGTGTGTGTGTGTGTGTATATTGGACACCTAGAAGTGGTGCAATGGTTAGCAAGCTTGTCTCGCTAGAACAATTACAACTGAGTAATGAGTTCAATCCTCACTGGGTGCCCCATACATTCAGCTTTATGCTACATCTAAGCTGTGTGTGTGTGTGTAAATGTCAGTGTGTCACATTTTCAATTTTACTCTTAGAGGCTGTAGCCCAACATATACCATTTTATAATCAGGCTTACTCCGTAAGCAACTTAAAAACATTCTGGACCGAATCCAGACCCACAGTTCTGAAATTTGGGATTTGCAAGTTTTCATTATTGTGATTGTTTTTGATTTTTTTTTTTTTTTTTTTTTTGTAACAATTTTTATAACATTGAAATATATTTGGGAATAATTGAAATTAATTGTGAAAGTCACACATGACATAAAAATAATTGTTTGTACACTAAGGACCTACATACATCAAATGGTCTTTAAATTAATGTGCAGCAGAAGAATTCTTGTTGAACTTTTAAAAGGTAAGTTTAAATATTAATGCAATACTTAAATGCAGCGATCAATTTTGAGTTCTTCTATAGTTTATTGTTGCCTATTGCACATGGCAGCAGTATGCCTCGTAAAAAAAAAATCTCCACCAACAGAGAACCAGACTGCAATCAAAAGAGCCAAAGCTGCAGCAAGGAAAAGAAAATGAAAACCTAGAACAAACAGCAGCCATGAGAGCTTCCAATGCTGAGAATATGCAAAGACTTAGGGACTCTCAAATTCTTGAGCAAGCCAAAGGCCCAATCAAGAGCACTGTGCAGGAGATAGCTTAAATGCTATCCAATTGAGTAGCTTTTAAGCTAGTGTGTGTATATATATATATATAATAAAATCTCCAAGTATAGGATTGGTGTAGATGGAATAAATTCTAATAACCAAAAATACTATTATTAAAAGAGTGCTCAATACACAGTAGAGCATATTTATTCAAAAATTATAACAAACAACGTTTATGTTATAATTTTTGAATAAATAATTATATATATATTTATATATATGGGCAGAAGATTACATTGAAACATGAATAGATGGTCATTGCTTGATGTTGGCCTCAGTGTCTCTGATACCTTTTAACCATAAATATAGCATACATTTTAATTATATTTTAATCATGTATGTATAAATATAGATACACTTGTCTGGCAATCAAGAGTTATTTTTAAAAACGCTTGTAACACACAGTTGTTAAAAAGTTCTCAACACAATTCACTTTGTAAAATCTGACCATTATCAGAATTTTTTTTCAAATCCCTCATATATATATTAGTCACATATTATATAAGAGAATTCATTTATATTTGACCACACTTGAAACATCAAAACCTATATTGATGCTACTGTTACAAGTCACTATCAGATCTTTAATGATCCTAATGGCATTGATTAAAGAAAATTGGAACAGAAAGAGATGGTAAAAATTTTTGGTACACGATGAAGAAAGAAGGCTTGGAAAATTTAACATTCACAGGATATTGAAGGAAGGCAGGACAAAGAGGAAATAACAAGTAACCTACCTAAAAAGTTTGTGTAAATCAATAGAAAAGCTTGGACAAAGAGTATAGTAAAAAGAAAAATTCAGCTTAAAGAGCTATGATTGTCCATTGTTGGAAGGAATACAGCACATAAAAAGAAGAATGACATTGGAGAACGGTTTCATTCAATCTCAAATAAGGTCCACTGACCAAGCATAGAACACAGACAAATATGATTGACAGTTTTTCAGATTCAGGACAATATAAAAAATATTCAACAGAGGATCACGGGCAAGAGGAATTTTTTTTTTTTTTTTCCTTCTGAAAAAGAACAAAATTCTGCAAACCTGTTGAGCAAATCCGAATGTTTATTACGCAGTGTCTGTGAAGAAGAGGAAGAAATGGTGGATGGACATGTGACTAAGTTTCCATTGGTCGAGAAAGTTTGGAGGCACTTGTTGCATGAAGAATTCTTCTCACCAGTTTTAGGTGTGACTTTAATAAAATAAAATTAAAAAAAATACAAATAAATATCAAGGGTTTGTCTTCAAAACCTTCAATATCAAACATTTAATTTTAATATAATTTTATTTGAACCAAGTTTGATTTAAGGCTTATGGCCACATCATGTAACACCAGTTCCCATATGATCATTAAAGTTAAGAAATAGTGAACCTCGTCAGTACCTAGCTGAGTGACTGCTTGGGAATACCAGGTGCTGTACACTTGGATATGTGGGTGGTGTAGTGGATAATGGCTTGGAATTGTTAATCAGAAAGCCGAGTTCCAATTCCCTTTGGATTCATTATATTCACTTAGAAAAGATATAAATCTCCTTCTCGTGTTCAGCTATGGGTTAGTAAAACTTGTATCACTAAACCATTATTATCTCCAAAAAAACATTATTACAATCTAAAAATATTTTCTGGCTTTAAATAACCTGTAAAGGATTGATAAGCTGTAGGAAATGAACCAATCTTTATACTATATAATCAGACTATTCTAATTTTTGCTGTCCTTGCTAAAAGTGATATTGTATGGATTGTTATTTGCCATTCCCCCGACCAAATTCTTACAATCTAAAAATATTTCCCTGGCTTTAAATAATCTGCAAAGGGTTGATAATCCACAGGAAACCAATAAATCAATCAATCAAGTTTGGTTTAAAAATGGTGGGATGTAGGATGTACATTTTCCAAATGAGAAAAGCTTGTAAATTTTAAAGCATTAAAATCCTGGGTTTTATGTTGCTTTAGTTTGTGCACATGTAGAAAATATATGAGATGACTCAGCAGGTCATCTCATTATTGATCAAACAAGTAGTAACTAAGTATATTAAAACAATGCCTCGGATTTGAATCCTTATTAAATGGCATCTAGAACAATTGCAAAATTATTCTTGTATTCCTGGTTGTGGTAAAAGTGTTTGTGTGTAATATTTGGCTACTTCTTTCCAAGTATGTATTTGTATGATAAGGTAGTTTGCTAATGCCTGTTGCTACACCTGTTCAGATACATTTGGATTATTTTAGTAGCCATAGAGCCAGTCTGTGGTTTATATATAAGTGGGTGAGAGTGCAAAATCAAAGCGAGTACATTCAAACCCTCGGTCACAATGACTTATGACTTCAGGTTAGCACATCAAAAATAGGTTCCAAACAATTTCATTTACCCAATCATGCCACATACTGGGTTTGTCTCCCCTAAGCTGATTATTCCCTTGACAATTCAATTATTTCAGAATTTGAACTTTGGTCTCATGGTCTGAACACTAACACTTTAACCATGCACACACACTCACACAAATATATATATATGTATATATATATATATATACACACACAGGGTGTCTCCCAAAAATTAACATTTAAAATGTGAATGTAGATTTTATAGCCAATTTCACAAATGTCCAATATATGCACCACCTGTGACAACACGTCAAGTTGGTAGTCCAGCTCCTGCCAAACAAGCAGTAGCATGTCTTACATAACACTCTCCAGCACCTCAATGATTCTCTGTTTAAGTTCCTCTAGGATTGTAGGAAGAGGGGGAATATAGACCTGTCCTTTCACATAGCCCCATAGAAAAAAATTACAAGGTGTCAAGTCAGTTGAACATGGTGGCCATTTTAACAGCACTTGGGATGCCCTATCCATCTTCCTGGTAGATTCTTACTGAGTTAAGTTCACACAGTCAATTTAGTTTTTACACATTTTGTTAAAATTTGAGATCATTTGAGCAAGGATTGGGTGTTATTAGACTAAAAAATGATGTCAGTTTTTGGGGGACATCTTGTTTGTATAAGATATTTTTATGTTTATACATTCTTTTTATAGATACAAATATTGTCCATCCCACAAAATGTTTAATATCTAAAAAAACACTAAACTAATTGGGTTTCTTTTTTCCAGATTTTCAGATAAGACGTTTAGCCATCTTGACACCATTTCACAATCACTGAAAAACCCTGAGTTATTCAGTGAGAAAGATAACAGATTAAAATCATTTTGTGTCAGCCACACTAAATATTCACAACTGAGCAATGGTGAGAGGAAAAAGATTATTCAAGTCTTCAGTAATGGTACCAACATTTATACTCTGGCTTCCATTTTCAAAGTCCATTCAAGAACCATCAAGAGAATGGTGAATAAGTTTAAGAAAGATGAAACAGTAGTGAGGAAAACTGAATCAGGAGGTCACAATAGCAAGAGTGATCATCATTTAAACTTAGAGCTAAATACATTCTTATTGTTCAAACTAGAGTCCAATAGTGTTATAAAAACCTCAGAGAATTCCAGTAAGATATCTTTAATCATTTCTAGGATACAATGGTTCAAAGCTGAATCTAACAATTAGATAATTTTGCTTTTACATTATTTGGACAATTTTGCTGTTATATGCATTATATATTTTTTAATTTTTTTTTCCCTTGTAATGATATTTTATTATCATCATTATTTATATCTACTAACCTTAACTTAGTAAAGACAAGGTCAAATGACAATATTCCTAATGGGAAAAGCCTGTCTACTTAAATACATGCACACATACGAATGATGAAATAAAAATTTCACTTTTTATCTGACCTTCAACACTATTGAGAAATGCATGACTACTTTAGCCATAATGCAAACCATAAATTTCTTTAAACTCTACCCTGCTTCAAACAAGAATCACCTTACAAAAAGATCAGTTTTAAATCATTTTTTTTTAAATTCTAAGACTAACAAGCAAAGCAAAGAAATTCAATAGATCATAAAATAAAAACTCAGTTGCTAAAATTTAATTTGATGTTGTACATGAAATTAAAAGAAAATATTTTTGTCAGAAATCTATACAGAGAAACCTAATTGAAATTTCATCGTTACCTTATGTGTGCCTTCACCATTAACACAGCTAATGTGTTAATATCTAAATGAATACAAACATTCTAGAAAACAATGATCATTAGATAAAATTAACCCCCAAAATCAAACTTATAAAAATTTATACCTTTGAAAGAATTTTTACGTTGACATTCATTGTGAAAAAATCTCGAATGAAGGTGAGAAGGAAGATCTTTGCTCTTAGTATTCGAACTGGAATCCACATGAATCTGCAAAAGAAAATATAGAAATGCTTTTGTGATTTCAATCAAAATAAGAGACAGGAGATATGAAAAAAAAAAAAATAAATAAAAGTGATTGACATACACAAAGTGATGCACACAAAATGAAATTGAAAAATGACTATGTAAGAAAAAAATTGCATACACCAGCACCTAGTTTCCACCTTTTCTTTAATGTTGCTCTTTTCACACTGGCTAACATAATGTCTGTATGGAAGCCAATCCATTTACTGTTGAAATTCAACAAACTTTTTGGTCATAGTATGGATGTGTCTAGAACATATTCAACTGTTATGAATCTTTTAAGAACTGGTTGACTGACTTTGATCTGATTTGGTAATTGATCAGAGGACCTTATTATGCATGCACAAAGACATTCTCTTATGGACTTACTTGGTTGTTTGTGAGATGCCATTGAGTGTTTGTACTGTATGATCTTCATATTCACAATAACCAAGCCAATAGAATTTTTTTTTGATTTTGTGCAGGGTTTTTCTTTTATTCAGACATCACATCTTAAAACAATATTTTATATTTTATCAGTGTATTTTCTTCAATGCACTGATGAAATATAAAATATGTGCTCCAAATTATACATGATTAAACATAAAGATAATATAGATGGTTTACATACAAGGCAATATCTATAAAGTCATTGCCTTGATTACAGAAAATAATCACAGCAAAGTAGTGGTTTCAAAATAATTTTTTTTTTTGATCGATTATCAACCCTTTGCAGGTTATTTAAAGCCAAAAAATAATTTTTGAATTGTAAGAATTTTTTTTTGGAGATAATAATGGTTTAATGATACAATTCCCACTAATTAACCCATAGCTGTGGGAAGAAGAGGTGGATTCATACCTTTCCAAAGGGTATTTGCATATGTGAGTATAATGAACTCAACAGGAATTGGAATTCAGTTCTTTGATTAACAATTCCAAGCCATTCTCTATTACACCACATCTAGGTACTGACCAGGCTCAGTGTTGCTCAACTTAAGCATAAGCCCCCAAATAAGGAGCATATCAGGTGTACTGAAACCTCATATTAATACACTGTATGCCCTCTCAGGCCTGTACTCTCACCTGCATGCAATTATACAGATGGCAAATACCATCCCAATATACATTATTCTATGCCATTTGCACTTTTTCATGCATTAAAGCAAAAGTTTTAAGTGGACCAATTAAAGAAGTCAAGTATCATTCTATCATACCCCATGCATGTGTTTGCAGGATACTAGCATAATGTTTGGGTAGAAATATGTCACTATTATGTTGTGGATATCACCTCTTTGGTTGTGCTGTGTATAGACATTTTATATTAAATATTTATGGGCTTCTGGGACATTTATCCCATAAAAAATATTGGTGGACCCATGTAAGTCTAGGTAAAAATAAATACCGCAAAACAATGAATATAAAACAAACAACAATGCATGTTATTAACAAAAGGAATTACATGTATACACAATTTTAATGAAAGGAAAAGACATTGGAACTAGCTATGACAATGTATGTGTGTGTGTGTGTGAAAGTGTTCAAAAGTCAACAGAAGAATACAGAAGTGAACACACCTCAGTAGCATTATTCTTTCTCTACCTCAACTACATCTGAAGGCAAGAGTTAAAAAAACACTAAAAAGAGTAAGAGAGAGAATATGATTGCCTTTTTATATACTTAAGGAGTGTCCCCTAACAGGTATTTTCAGCAAAGTGGGATAACCCATACATGTTGAATGGCAGTTGTTGCCAACATAGAAGCACCACCAAAAGAATACATCCAACACACACAGCATTTCTCCAAAAAGATCATCCAGCTTCTCAATCTAAACCCCTTTCATATGACTCAAAAGTAGCAGGTGTACATCTTCATGGCATAACACTTGCTTGCAGTGGACTGTCAAAAACTCAGATAAAGATGGTGCACCAGTATGAGTGTTACTATAACACAAGATGGCCAAACATATCAGAATATCTACTACCCATATCAAATTGGTATTGTTCTTCCGAATGTTGTAATTTTATTTTCAAGCACTGTATTAATTATTCCAGTGTGAAAGATTTCTATTATATGCAGTCCATCTGCAAACTGATGGATAATACATTAGATGATAAACCCAACACTAAAATCAGTTAAAAATTCAATCTTAAGAAATTTACTGTGTGCTTGCATAAAATAGTAAAATTGCTATAAACATCAAAATATTGAAATTTGTACTTAGTTTAGAATTTTTATCAAGTTATATATCTATGATATATACTGTAATGGTTAGCAACTCTGAGACAAAAAATTGGCTGATTGAATTAGTTACATATTTTTGAGCACAAATACACTTGGGAAAAGTATGTATCCATCTCTTTTCCCCCCATGACCAGGTGAGATTGTGCTATTGTTGGCAATCAGTCTTGGAGGAGGACAAATCTGAATTCAAAACTTGGCTACCTGGAGCTGTACAAAGATGGTTAGACATGGGGTGTAGATATTTTATCTGTAAAACAAAAACATGACAACAGCTATGAATAATTCCACTGGAGAGGGATTATCCAGAATGCTGTTGACACCAACAAGCACTGGATCCAAGGAAGATGGATATATTTATGAAAATAATAAAGAAATATTAATTAAAAAAATTTGGTAAACATGGACATTCATGCTCACAATAAAATGGAGTGTCAAAAGGATAGTTTTTCCCATGACACCACTTTTTAAATTACCTTCACTCTTCGGCAATGCTTATTGTTTTAAAAAGCAATGATTAGAATTGGAATAAAATCTAAACATATGAAAGTGAATTTCTACATTTTCTTTGTTCTTGAGAATTGAAAATAAACATTATTTATTTATTAGATTGTTTATTTCGCACTATTTATTAATTATATTATTTATTAGAATGGTTGGCAAAACATTGGCTAATTGCAAATTGATTTGAACTTTATAAAATAGTAAATAAGAATTTACTTATAGTTGGTTCACATATTTTAATAATTTAGTAAATGTTTATGAATAAAAAATTTCTGTCTCTATTTCTGAGATGAGGTATTGTAATTATTTACACTATTTGATGCCCTTGAGCCACATGGTCCAGTGGATAAAAGCGTTGGTTGAATCCAGTGGCTTGACCCAAACTGTTGTGAGTTCAATACCTGGCTATAGCAGAGGTGAACAAAAGCTTGTTGAGAGTTGAGTTAAAAAGGAGATGACTGGGATATCTGCAAAAAGTGGACGTTCGTCCAAATAAAGTGTTTGGTTCAAAATTCTAATCACCTGCAGAAGGCCGGAGCGTAAAATGGTCAAAATGTCATGAATATGGTAACAAAGATGAGGACAACAGTCCGAACAATGTAAACAGTGTAAATAATATGAATAAAAAATTGTTTTCACATTTATTTTTTTATAAATTGATAAATATTGCATTAGTCTTAATTGTATTAGTTTTTAGAATGTTGCAAATAAACAATAAATAGTGTTTAAAATTTTTGTTGTAAATTTGCAAGAACATAAAATGTATAAATTCATCCCCATCAGATTTTATTCCAATTCTAATCATCGTTTTTAAAATAAATAAACACTACCAATGAGTGAAGGTAATTAAAAAAACAGTGTCATTGGAAAAAATGTCCTTTGGATACTATGTTTATTTCGGGCATATTTATCCATGTTTGCCAAAAATCTAATATGTTCTTAGAAGAAACAGAAGTTAAAACATGTAGCTCACTCTATAAGAATATGTAAAGACAGATTAACAAATCAATGATAGCAAGAAAGATTTAAAAGAAAAAACAAACAAAATAATTGAAGCTCAATATGCCTACCTTAGTCTTAAGTAGCTGTTCTGCTAATTTCCCTATATGGTCTGTGCCATCAGGTGATTCCTTCCAATCTGTTTTGTGCAATTTGTGCCGACTGAGCATATCCTGCATAGATGGACTCACAAACTAAAAAAAACCAAAAAAAAAACCAATCAAACAAATGAACTTAACAAATCTATATCCATATGTAGCCTAAAATGATGAAAAGAGCATTCAATATAAACAAATATTTTTTCAACAGTCTTCATCTTCATAAATGCACTAAAGTCATTGGTAAATATTGAAACACAAACATTATATAGCTGTGTAACATGATTTTCGTCCTTGGGTAGCAACTATTATTTCCTATTTGCTTACACCTAGAAAGTAGGAAAAATGTCTAATATTTCCTTCTAACTTTGCTTTTGTGATCAGGATAATAATATTTCTGAAATTTGCCTATTCCCATTAAGAAAGCTGGCAAATGTGAACATTTTCGTCCATGCAAAGTAGGAACAAAATGACATAATTCAAAAGTAGCATTTATTTATTCTAGGATTACACAAGAGAAACCGCAAAAAATTTAGAAGTGAGTAGCTTTTCACAATTTATGCTTATACTTTAAATTACTTTCATGAATCAGGCCCCAAATATAGCCTCCCATCAGGTTTTCGTTATATGATCCTTGGTAGTGACGTTCAAAGCCCAGTGTATTCTAGTGGAATTGCTCACCTTGCTCCTCTAAATACATTCCATGTTCTCCTTGAATTTATCAAGATGAGCATAAATGATATGGACTTTGAGGGACATCCTGCAGCCCATTTTGCTGTAGTTCTTCACCAAGGTATCAACAAGCTCCACATAGTTTTCAACCTTATGATTCTCCAGGAAGCCTGAAACCATTGCAACAAGGCTGTTCCATGCTGCTTTCTCCATCCAAGTGAGCTTCTTGAAGAATACCTTGCACTCTATAATCTTCATTTGTGGTCTGATGAAGATACTGGCTATGAGTTTTGCCACAGACTGCTTAGGGAAGAAGTCTTGAAGGTATTTGAAGACTCCCTATCTAGAGGTGTGACAAATTGTTTCATAAGGCCTAATTATAAGTGCAATGGAAGAAACAATACTTTCCAGGGGTCCAACAGTAGCTCTCATTTGATGTTCCTCCTTACACTAAACTTGGTTCACTGTGACCAGTCCCACCTGTCATTGTGTGCTGTGAGGTCCCTGTTAACATGGAAACTTAGTAAAACCACCTTGGAGGCCCATCAGAAAGGCTACCATTTTGAAGTCTCTGATAACCTCCCAACTGTACTCTTCATATTTTAAGGCATTTACCAATATCTTAATACTGCCATATTCCTCTTTGAGCTGCACTGATTGAGCCAGGGGAAGAGATGGATGCATGTTCCCATTTAAGGCTCCTTGATGAGTTATCAATGAAGAGGCACCACTCCCTGGGGTTACAGGTGATTCCAATTGCATTGAACAGACTGGTCACATTGTGGCAGAAGTAAAGCCTATCTTGATGGGTGAAGAAGGTTGAAAAGCACTTCTCTGACCTGCAACTTTTACATTTTCATCTAAGAAATTCCATTGCTTGAGTCTTGATGTAAAAATCTTGGCATTGGACTTTGTAAGAGCAAGGTATCTGATCAAGTCATTCAGGTCCTTTTGGTTGGTGTAGTATGGGCTTCTCTCCTCATGGCAAATATTGATACAGAATATGTTTTTGCTCTTGTTTTGATAAATTTGCCACAGACATAGCAAAATGCGTCTGCCGGATACTTACAACCTCTTGATGACATCTATGACAAATACATCTCTCAACAACAAGAACTTGTCTGCACTAGGACAGCTAGAAGTAAACCGAACTGTTGAGCTTATGTTCCCTGTATTTATACTGCCATCTATGTTGGCAGAATGTTCTAGAAATTCTTGAAACTTTTAGAAACTTCTAGAAAATTCCCCTTCAGCAACTCAGTGCTGAATCTGTTTGAAATGTAATGGAAAATAGGTTAGTTTCAAAACCTCAATATCCAGATTACAAAAGCAAAGTTTAAAAGGAATAGTCATTTCCTTTGCTTTCTAGACAGAAGCAATTAGGAAATAACACTTACTGACCAAAGACAAAAAACGTCAAAATTTTGTTACAGTGTTACTATGACTATGAATTTGTTAAGGTATGAATGCATGCTTGCAAAATATTTTTAAATTAAGTTTACTTTATTATACATTTATCTATTTGGACTCTATATTGTTATAAAATAAATAAAATTCACAATACTAAATCAACTAAATGTTTTGTAATGTCAACATATGTCATGGACAATGAAAAGAAAAACTAAACCAAAATTAATAATGACAGTGCTTCATCAAAGAAATTCAGACAACTTAAGACTTATGTCTACTAGTTTATTTCCAATCTATGTTACCTACTTAACAATCAGTGAATGTAAAAAAGTTGCAATGAACATATAATTAAAAGAAAAACTAGTTCAAAATTAATAATGACAATACTTTATCTAAGAAATTCAAACAGGTTAAGATCCTTAAAGATCATCATGAAATAATGAGTTACATAAACAGGTAAAAATAACGAAGATGCTTACATGTGGCAGTTCATCTTGGTTTCCAGTTTCCAGATTTTTATTTGGAGATCCATAACCCAGAGAACATTTACAGGCATCAAGATGAAACTCTACTGGCTTCCGACTTAAACTATGGAAAACGTTTCTGTCAATCGAGCGTAATGTTCGATTTTCTTGGTCATTCTTTGATTCAGTATTTTTGGAGTTTAACATTTTCCCTAAATTCCCACTTTTAATTCTTTGGAGTTCTTCTGCGAAATTGTTAAATCCAAAATCTACCTGAGAATGTTCCAAAGTTCTGGGAGAATTTTTGCTTACAGTTGAACAGTTCTTTTTTGATTTTCCTCCACTCATTACAATAATCCCAGTCATTTCATGGCCATTCTTTGAGTTGGCACTGCCAGAAATTTTGTTTTCAGGAAAATCCTGGAAAAAAAAAAATCTTTTTTCAAAAGGAAAATATTTCAAATAAAAATGATTAACAACCTATGGATGTGCACATAGCGTAGCAGTTATTGACAAGGAAAATGGAATCAACATGCAGAGTTTGAATTTGTTTGTCGCATTTGTTTTCACCATGGGAAAGGTGTGAATCCATCTCCTTTGTCAGCTAGGGGTTAAATATCAGGTCAGATTGAGCTCTTTAGCCTTGGTTGACAACTAGTTTAGAAGTAGGACAACTCTGAATTCAAAATCAGTTAGACGTGAGGCTGGCAACTTGACCCTGTAAAAAAACTACTTGCTACAGATTCCAGAGCAGTTACACAGTGTGTTGAATCAGGGAATCTAATGGCACTAAGTGAGAAAACTGGACAAAGAATATACAACACTGTTCCATAATAGTTTGTTTGCATACACATTTTCTACACTAAATGAAACAAGCATAATAGAAGAGAAGTAATATTTGTTTTTATATATCTTTCTTTGCAGCTAAGCTACCAGTTGAGATGGACTGAGTAGAGGCAAACTACAAGAACTAATGATTAGTCTATTGGTAACTACAAGCAAAAATTGGTAATCTTTAACCTTTGTGCCTGCAAAATATCAGTGTGTCAAAAGCACAGTTTTTCCCTATTATTTTTACTACATTCATTCTTCAGCAATGTTTATAGTTTTAAAAGGCAATGATTCAATTTTTAATAAAACCTAAATATATGATGAAAGTGAATGTATACATTTATTGTTCGAGAATTTACAACAAAAATATTAAACACTATTTATTTATTAGCTTTTTTATTTACAAGAATAATTTTATATTTACAAAATTCTAAAAAATAATACATTTGTATTAAAACTAATGCAATCTAATATTTAACTTCTACCAATTTATAAAGAAATAAATATAAAAACAATTTCTTATTCATAAATTTATAAACATTTACTAAATTATTAAAATATGTGAATCAACTATAAAGAAAATCCTTATTATTTACCATTTTATAAAGTTTGAAACAATTGGCAGTTACCAATTTTCATCAGATCCTATAAACTGGCACTATACAAAATCAAAATTGAAGAGCTTAGATCAATGTTTTAAAATGGTTTCCAACAAATAAGCCCTGTAGATCTCATGGAAGACCATCCTCTAAATTTCACTGACTGGCACTACAGAATCATTAACAAAGAAATTAACAAATAACAGAAACCACATCACTTGAGGACAGCAACAACTAAAAATGATAACTCAAAGAGAAAATAATGACATTTATCAGTTCATCCATCAACTTAATTACATTGCAAAATATTCAATTTTGACATAATAAACATATCAAGGCAAACATTTTTACTGTAGATCTCAGGCTTATGACCATATCACGTTGAAACACTGGTTCCCATATAATCAGCAAAGTTAATTAACATCGAGCCAGATCAGTACCTAGATGGGAGACTGTTTGGAGATACCAATTGCTGTAAGCTTGGATGTGCAGATGATGTAATGAATAATGGTTCAGAATTGTTAATTGAAAAGCCAAGTTCCAATTCCAGTTGGGTTCGTTATATTCACTAATGTGCAAATACCCTTAGGAAAGGTATGAACCCACATTTTCTACTCCAGCTATGAATTAATTAGTAAGATTTGTATCACTAAACCATTACTTTCTCAACAAAAATATTCTTACAATCTAAAAACATTTCTTGACTTTAAATAACCTGCAATGGGTTGATAATCCATAAAAACAAATGGATGAATGAATGAATGAATCAATCAATCATTAGCAACCTCATCTGGTTCTCTTTATTAATTTGAGAACTTTCAGTTTTTCACTTAAAGACAGCACTTTATAGTATATACTAATTGTTAGCATCTATCATCATTATTTTGATAATTCTTTATTTCTGGGTTTAACTGCAAATAAACTGGAGATCACTAAACATATTTTATTCAATGTTGCTTTGACCAGATGATTTCATGTAGAATTCCATCTACTAAAATACCAAGTCCAAGTAATTTATACTGACCTTTGGGTTATTCTTTAATTGTCCAGTCCAATGTGCCATTTTGTGGCCATTCTTTCTACTGGTTACTATCATGGACTCTCCTTCTTGAGAACTTAAATGGTCAGTTCTGGGCAGTTGGGGACAAGCAGTGGGTACCCGATGTTTGGAGGATTTGATAAACTTTTTTGGAAGTGGAGGTTGGCAAAAGTCAATAGAATCTGATAATGATTCCCATGGTGAATTGTTATCCTTTCTTGAAGGTGTGTCTGCTGGGCTCTTCTTTGTGCTCCGGACATATCCTGGACCCCTGAAAATACAGAACAAAACTTGGACTTCAGTCATATAATAAGGTTTCTTTTTTGTTTTTTTCAGACATTAGAATATAGAAAAATTACTTATTTTGATTTTGGCAACTAATTGTTACTATATTTTTTTCATGGTTTCTGTTGTAGTCTAAGGAAAATAATCACAACATTCTATATATATGCACATGGGAAGTATAAGCACTCAATTGCTGATACTTCTGACAAGAAGCAAAAAATGATTCCCAAAGGGTCCATCTATGAAACTCTGAAGTCAGAATACTGAAGGTAACATCAATCAGCTAAATGACAAACCTTTTACTTGTATTAATTTTCTTTTTCTCTCTCTCTCTCTCTATGATATATATATATATATATATATATATATATATATATACGGTGTAGCAGAAATATCTCCCACATAATGGTAAGATATGTGGCAATGGTGTCTTACCATTATGTGGGAAGTATTTCTGCTGCACCTTATATATATATATATATATATATATATATATATATTTTTTTTTAGAGAGAGCGGTGCATGTGAGTCTAAATAAATTCAACTGACAAAGTCTGGTGGTTTAAATTTTTACCAATTTAGGGATATGTTGTTGCATGGCTGGATCAAATTTGTGGACAAACTGTCCAAAGTACTTTTGAATGTCTCATTATCAAGAACTTAATGCTATCAGTGTCATATAGATAAATATTTAACATACCCCCCCGCAAAAAAAAAAAAAAAAAATCAGAATTGTTAAAACATTAGAATAGTTTGATCTCTTGAAGAGTTTCATGTTGATAAACTTACATATGGTTAAGTTCAGGAAGTTTATCTTTCTGTTGTTGTCGATAACTGGACTGTCCTGTCTTGCTTTGCAAATGCTCTGTCTTTGGCAAACTGAATGGAGTATTGCATTTCAGGTGCTCTGTATGCAAAGCTTCATGTTGTAAACATTCCTCAATAGTATTTCTTTCTTTGTCATCCAGGTGAAGCATTGCCTGACAAAAAAAATAAATTGATTAAAACAAAAAATCAACATAATACAATTCATTATACATTGATCTATTCTGACTAGTGCTGCCATCTCAATTGTTTTAGTAACAATTTTTCGACTATTGAACACACCATCTTTCTTCAAGTGTTTTCTTCATTCAGTAACCTTTTAGAAATTTTCCACTGAACCCTTTATTCAAGGTTTATGGCCACATTACACTGAAGCATCGGTTCCTGAAAGATCACTAAATTTAAGCAACACCAAGCCTGGTCAGTACCTAGATGGGTGAATGCTTGGGAATACCAGGTGCTGTGAGTTTGGATGTACAGATGGTGTAATGGATAATGGCTCAGAATTGTTAATTAGAGAGCAGAGTTCTAATTCCCCTTGGATTTGTTATATTCATTTATGTGGAAAATACCCCTGGGGAAAGTTATGAATCTCCCAGCTATGTGTTAATTAGTAAAACTTGTATCACTAAACCATTATTATCTCCAAAAAAACATTATTACAATCTAAAAATATTTTCTGGCTTTAAATAACCTGTAAAGGATTGATAAGCTGTAGGAAATGAATCAATCTTTATACTATATAATCATGCAAATTTAATTGTCACCTAATTATATACAATAATGGATCATATGCAATATAAGTGAACAATTCAACTAGAAAAATTGAAAATAAATACAATGCATCTAAATACAAATTAGAGTCATGTCATAATAGATCATTTCATTTAAATAAATCTAATTTTTTGCAGCAATTTTTAACATTAACTTGATATTTTTCTTGTTAAAAAAATGAATAATTTTAATACATTCAACATTACTAATAAAAAAAAATATAGTGAATTTGATATAGTGTTTTTTAGACTTAGCATGAGGAAAACAATTTCACGGATTTGGACGAAAAAACAAAACAGAAACAGAATGATGCCAAAACTCACAAACATTTTTCATCCTTTAATAATCAGTTATACTTTCTTTAATTTGTAGCATGTATATATAGATAGATAGATAGATAGATAGATAGATAGATAGATAGATAGATAGATAGATAGATAGATAGATAGAAAAATCCAATGTTGATTGATAAGATAGCAAGGGTCACAAAGTACAGTTTGTTACCTCCAATCATTTTGAAGGTTGGGTGTTCAGGCATAGTACACACAGCTATGTAAATATCCATTATTTTTTTTTCTACTGGCGAGAAGTTAAAACTGTTTACTTAATAATAAAGTTTCATTCTCTAAAAGATTAGAAAACAGAATCAATCTTAAAGAAGCATTCACATTTGCTTTTGAGAAAATGATGGACATGTTCAGAACTAACATTCCTACAACTAAATGGGCTTGTATTTATACATATATTTTCATTTGAAATTTGTTAGGTATTTATATCTTATATGGAGATGTTATCAAAAGCAAATAAATATTATTAAAATTAAGGATAAGCCAACATCCTAAGTATAATTTTTCTTCATGATAAAACAACCACATTTGTAAAAGGAGTATATTATTTGCAATAGTTTGCATTCACTTCAAATCACATTAGAAAGAAAAAAAAAAGATCATTAAATATAATAGATACAAAATGCTATTGTTTTTACCCAAACATACCAAATTTATATATCCTAAATTTATTCCAAAAATGATTTCTGAATAAGAAATTGTAAATAAATTAGAGGTGGGGAAAACTAATCGAACTGACCCTGTTTATTTGACCTTCTATGCATCTTGTATAGTTTTCTTTTTTTTTCTCTTTCCTATTTATAAAACAGAAATAAATAAGGTTCCTTAAATGACTGAAAGAAAAACTGACACTTACCTTAAGCAGGTGAATGAGAACTTCGGGAAGGATTCCTTCATACAAGCACTCCAAAGTTTCTGGAAAGCTGACAGAGGGAAACTAAAAAAAAATCTAGTGTCTTTATAATGAATACATGCTTATAGCTTTAAAAAACATTATAGTGATTAAAATACTATTATAAATAACTCATGTTAAACAATTTCCTTAGAGATCATGTAACTGCTGCTTTAACATTAACAAAAAAAGTGGAAATAGTGAAACAACAAATCATAGGAGACTGAGAGTTTGTTTGGGGTATAACACAAGGTAGTAGCTGAGATAGACATGTGGAGAAAAATCAACATACATATGTAATGTAATCAGATAGACTTGTGAGAGAAATATTCCATGAATTATTGCATTGTAGTAATTGAGAGTTTTTGTTTCTGCTGTTGATAGAAGCACTTTGGTGTCACAGTTGATGGCCTGGTTAAACTCGTCTGTCATGGAAGACCATCAATAAGATCATCTAAGTTGGATTTGCCTCTGTGGGTGAAATCAGCATTGGCTTTATAGTGTCAGTGGCTCAGAAACAGCTGATACAAACAAAAAACATGTGGGTCTTTTCTGATTGGTCAGAAAAGAAGGTTTACAACTGATATTTTTAGTCACTATTTGGGAAGCAGCTGTACAGAGCCAGACAAGATTAAGATCTGTGTTTATTATATAAGCTGTAGATGTTGAAGTGAGGTTCTAAGCCTGTTAAATATGGTGGATGGACAAATTTTTTTAGTGGATTTCTTCACCAAGAATTCACAAACTCTTAACACATTTGTCAGAATCCAAGTCAAAGTTCAGGTCTTTTCCTCCAAACAGATTTTTATAACCCTGCCCATTTCCCATGTCATTGTGCACATTTCTTGCCACTCAAAACCACTCGATTACTTCATAGCATATTCACTATAAGACATTTTTAATAGGGCTAAGTTTTCACCGGCACTTTTACCAATATTTACACAAAACTGTTAATCTGCTGATACAGTTTCCTTTTACTCATTTTAAGAGTATAACATGAACACATACAACTCCATCTACTGCTCAGCAACAAATGACTTATCTAAAAGTTGGAACATACTTGGATGTGTTCAGGTATAAATGTTCAACTAATTATCCTAGTGTCATGTTGCACTTATTCCAAGAATTGTTACACCTTGTATTCAGTCACTAATATATTTTCCCTGAATTTCTGTAACCTCCTGATACCTTACATCTATAGTTGCATATTCCATCATGCAAAAGTGGCCAAAATATCATAAAGAAACTCATCCAACAGAATTAATTTGAAACAGTAAAAACACCTCCTTTGAGAAATTTAATCAAAATATTAAGCCCTGATATTTTGTCACTTCATTATTTTTCTTTTTATTTCTATTTCTATATTATATTCTATTATTCATTTCTATATTCTATTATTTTTACATTGTATTCTTGTATTTCATATCTTTTCATTATATTCTACTTTCTCCTCCTCTTCCCACTCATATTGATGTTAATTCACTGTGTCATATTCTTTTCATTCACTTTCTGCCAACAGTATAACATGAATACATACAACAAATGACTCATCTAGTTTGCATTTCTAGAAACCTGTTGGAACCTGTCTAGATATGCTCAGGTAATCGAGTCTGCCCGAGTCATTATCCCAGCAACATGCTGCAGTCATTCAGGAATTTAAGTTGTTGCACCTTGTACATGTGTAAATATATATATGTGCAGTTATGTGCACAAAAAATCCAAATTTACCTTTAATCCATTAAATCTGGGATTTTGATGAAACATTTCAATGTGTTTTGCTGTTAATGAGCCAACAACTGATTGGATTACATACAACTGGTCAATTTCACTTTCACCAGGAAACAGAGGCTGACCATTAGCCATTTCCCCAAGAATGCAACCAACTGACCAAATATCTACTGGTTTACCATAAGGAGCTCTACAAAAAATAATTGTAAATTCACATTAATTCTATGAATTCAATGTAAATAAAAATTAAGTTAAAGTTATATTGAAAATAACTGAAAATCAATAATGAAATTATAGAATTAATTTTAAAGCAATTAAAAATAATTAAAAAATTCAAATGAAATAATTGCAGCATAATTTAGTACAATTAGTATAAAAACTGCAGTAAAATTTAGTACAAAAAACTTAATTGTTACAATAAGGCCCTTACATATATGTAAAAAAAAAAAAAAAAAAAAAAAAGTTTAAATTCCAAAAGTGTTAAGAGGTAATTTTAAAGGATTTACATTTTTTGTTAAATATGCACATAGGATTGTCTTTTTAAAATTTAAAATACCAAATAGTCACGGAATTTAAAAAAAAAAACGTCTGAATAAAAAGACTAAAGCAAAATAAATTTTGTTTGCTCTTACCCAAGCAAAAGTTCTGGAGATCTGTACCACCGGGTAGCGACATAATCGGTGAACAATCCAGAGTTATCTCCCCTGATCGAACGAGCAAAGCCTATTTTAAAGAGAAAAAAAATTGAAATAACTTAATGCTATTCATTTTTGTTTTAGTACATTAAACAAAGGATTTTTGGTATACCATCACTGAAAGAGTAAAGTTGGTGAGCTTTCATTATTAAACATATTAATGTATAATTTTATAACCTGACTGTACCTTTAATCTCTGGGAATTTTGTGCCGTCTGAGAAAAATAAAACAGATACCCTGACACAGGTATAAAAGAAATGGCTAGAGATGATTGACAACAAGGGAAGTATATCTGAGACATACTGCCGAAGATACGCAGAAGTTAAGGAGTTGCACGACAGACATCACATGGAAGTCAACCGAACTTTGTTTTTAGTACGGAAGGTACATCCAGAGGTCACTAGGGAGACTGTTCAAAAAGTGTTCAGAGAATGTGATCAGTGCTAGTCCATTGATCCCACACCAAACAGGCATGAAACTGGAAAACTCCAGGTGAAAACAAATTAGAGAAGGTTAGCACTAGATGTGACCCACTACAGAGGAAGGTTGTTACCTCTTAATGATTGACCGTGGACCTGGTTAGATAGCTATTTGGAGGAAAATTCAGCAGCCATAATTAGAGAGAAACTCAATGAGTTTTTTTTTGGAAAGTGGAATAAATCCTCATGGTTAATAGCACAGTGTTTTGCTCAGAAAGTCTTCAAGAGATGCTGAGGAAATGGAGTATCAGGAGATATTTTAGAGCAGCATATAGACTTAGTAGAAATGGTTATTATAGAATGACATCATCACACAATAAAAGTCATAGCCTAACAAGGAGAGATTTCACCTATTGAGGCCGTTTTTTGTACATGTCACCAAAATCTAGCCAAGCAAAGGTGGCAGTTCCATAAAGGTACATCTTTAGCTATGAGTGGAGGTATCCAAAGGTTATACTGATGAGTTAGAAAGTGGATGTACCTGCCATGGTCTGAATAGGAGAGGTGGTTTGGGTTAAGCCACCTGATGCCCGACGCATGACTCAATAGTGAAGTAGTGTAGTACTGAGGTTCACTCAGCAAATAACATGTCAGTTGATGATATGCCCTAATACATTCTGAAGATTAAAACAGTAAGACGTCCTTCAATTGATGAGGCACACCCTGCAGAATTGCAGGATGAAGCTGATGATGAACAGTTACAGAGACCCCAATGGGAGAGACATGTACCCTACTGGTTGAAAATTTATCAAATTGTTTTAGATCCTATAAATGTCACATAGTTGAGTGTGGGTTTTCTGCAGTGGACAAATGTTAAACGCATGAGAGATAGAGAAGAGAACAAAAAGAGGAAAGAAGAAAAGAGTTATTGTTGCCAAAAGGAACATCAAAGAACTGATGAGAAAGATAGTGAAATTGATTGTCTCACAAGTGAAAACAAACTACACTCTTCTATTCAAATAATTCAACTTGTCCTCTAAAATGTTATCAGCAACTCATTCAGACTAAAATTGAGAAGAGAAAAAACACAAACTTGCTCCTCAGAATTTCAAAGACATTATGGAGAGTAAAATCGTCCCAAATTAGAATATAAGAACCTTAAGAATTAAAAAATTAAAGCACTCCAGCTGTGCTACACAAGCAAGGAGGCTAAGTCTTGCATTGTATGTTGAGCCTGTAGACTCCTTTGTGGAGTAAAGATCACAGCCTAACCACATTACTACAGTGGTTTCCATTGCAAGTAAGATTTTATGGGGTGAACTTGCTGGCTCCCACACCTAACCAGTTTTGAATTCAGCTGTTCTTCTAAATCGCTACCAAACCAAAACTAGAGACCTCACTTTGCTCTGCTATTAACACCTAACTTTCCAAATGTATTTGTGTGAAAGTGAATGCAACTACCTTGGTTGGAATTTGAATATAATAAATCCCACTTTCCATGTTAATAGCCACTATACTACATGTACATTCAAGACTGTATTAAAGCAATCTTAAAATTCAAAAATGTTTTTAGGTAATTACAAGTCAGATTTCAACTGCTTTAATTTCTAACATAGAGCAAAGGTTAGACTAGTGTGATTCAAATAATTTAAGGAATTCTATCTTTGGTTTTGCAGATCCTTTCAGTTGTGGTAACAAATTTCACTTCTTCAGCATCACAAAAAAAATAAGTTACTTACAATGCATCATAAAATGCTTGCTTATTTTTCTATGAAACTAGTGAATATTCCCACAGGAAAACAATTGATGAGTTCCACAGAATTCTCTAAGAAGAATAGTGAACATGATTAGTATAGCTGGCCACAAGTATCCAACCAAAAAAAATCCTTTTTTCAATGTTTGTTTAAATTAATTAAAAGCTTAAGATTTTCACTTGTTTGTTGATAAACTACATTTTCTAATTAAATGTAAATGTTTCACAGATATATTTTGATTAAAGTAACAGTTTTTTATATTTTTTTTTTTGACCCTTTCATATCTGGTCTTAAGATTTTGACCAGGGGTGTATATATAAAAACAAATGGATAAATATAGGTAAATGAACAAGCAAGTATTCATATATTTAAAAGAAAAACAGACCACTTTAAGGTACCATTATAATAATTTATTTCACCAGAGCCCTTTTAAAGGACGCTGGATCATCAGATAGCACTTCCAAAAATGAAATGAAACAAAAAATGAAATTAAAATTGATGGGTAGTGTAAGTTTTTGTAATTTAACAGAGAGTGTAAAAGAAGTAGTTAAAGAGACATAGTAGAGCATAGGGAGGGATTAATTTCATATCTCTCTCAAGTATACTTTGTATTGAGGGAGGAGGAGTGACCAGACCTTGACCTATTTAGATGGTTAACTTAACGGAAGTGATATATTGAAATGGGAGGGGAGAAGGGAGAAAAGAAAAAGGAAAAAGAAAGAAGAGGGAGAGGGAAGCAAACAGAAAGAGGCTGTCATTGAGTTTTAGCAATTTATGTAAAGAATAGATTTTAATGCTTGATAGTAATTTAGATGTCTAAAAAAACCCGAATAAATTAATTTGATGTTTGCTATCAATTTAAATATTTAATTTTTTTAAAACAAATAGTTTAGGGATTTAATATAAGTTAAATACTATATTTATTAACACATCTATAGAGAACATATTAAAAAATATTTTAAATTATAACAGTTTGTTTACCCGACCGATCATACTTTTTTAATATTGTAAAAAATAGTTACGATAACATCTTTAAATCTAATTTATGAATGCAATTTGTAATTATTTTTATATGGGTAATCTTTCTTACTTAAACATTAGGTTTAATTAAAATAGAGTAATATTTGAGGGTAATATTAAAGATTTTGCTTTCTACTTATATATATCACATACATATTCATGCAATTTGACTACCCCTTTTACACTCTCTGTTAAATTACAAAAACTTACACTACCCATCAATTTTAATTTCATTTTTCATGTCGAGTTACCTTAAGTGGTCTGTTTTTCTTTTAAATATTAGCTCTGGATTTACATTGAGCTCTCAGGATTTCACCCTCCTTGGGATTACCCATACGGATTACCAAGTTCTTCATAATTTAATTATATATATATATATATATATATATATGTGCACACACGCACACACCCTATAGTGCAAGAAAAACAGTGCTCAATGTTAAATAACAGAGGTATTTAATATATTAAAAAATATACATAATACCCTATGTTGATTGCAGAACTCGGAGTTTCATGCCATCTGCAATTCTCAGGTACAATTTTCGGGTTTACACCATTTGTGCAACCAACGTAGAGTATTATGTATTTATATATATGGAGGCAACCCAATTCAATCAATCAACACCTGAGGAAGGCCAGAGAATAGATTGAGTCACCTTGTCTAAGATGCAAATGAATTACAGGTGGACTACTTCAACCAAAAGATATGCTGATTGTGCCATGTCCTTTCAGAACATAGGCAATCACAACTTTCCATACTTTGCAACTATCTTCATTACTTCATATCCTTTGTAGCCCTTACTATCCTTCACATTCCCAATTCTACAATCTGTTATGTGTCGCGTCTCAGATACCAAACAGAGCTGATTCAGAATCAACAAGATGACTCCAACATTTAATATATAGAAGGAGCTTTTATTCTCATGTTGAACAACCTTAGGCAGCTTGCTTCGCCGTGTTGACTTAGGATTTCTGCATGCTGCAGGGGCTAGAATGAGACTGGTCCAAGGGGTACAACTCATGTCGAGTTACCTATAATACAACACCATCCATTTACGCAAGCTCACATTAGGTGGATGTAATCAGCAAGTTTTCTGGCTTTCTCCCTCCAATATATCCTGTCAGTATTGTTTTCCAAGCCCTCTTTTCTCATTATATAGCCTAGAAATTTCAATTTCCTTTTTTTCATTCTAAGTATCCATTTTCCATGAAATTTTCTTGTTGCTCTCATGTTCCATTCATGGTATTCTCAGAATCCACATCTGTCACCTCATGCCACTTTTTCATCTGTGAGAAATTGTCCAACATTAACAACCATAGGAGGATAGAAATTGCATAGCATTTCAGCATTTTTCCTTTGTTTCTAACAAATTTTTCCTCTTTCTTAATACTTTGGAAGACATCTTTTGCTATTTCAATATGCCTTCAGATTTCAACACTAAAAGTACTAAATATGCTATTTCCATAAATTGGCACTTTTCTCATCAGAGTTTTGAAGAAATTGAAAGCTTATGTTATATTTTCTGTCTGAGGTAAGTTTTGTTTAAATAACCTCTTGTTTTAACAAAAACCTACTTAAAATGAAAAAAAAAGCTATATTAAAATAAAGTCTCTTTTAAATGAAAATAAAACAAAAATTTCAATTCTAATTTTATGACAATCTTCCCTTTTTGTTGAGATTATGACTATAAACGAGTCCCCTTTGGGAATGAATCAACAATTTTCATTAATTATTAGTAATTATTTTTCTTGTAAATTTATAAATATACACATAAACATGTATTTACATGTATGGAAGTAGAGATGCACTAACACTAAAACCAGTATTTAAACAATAATTTTCTTGTGTAATGCAGTCTTGTTTAATATTTGCCAATTTTTTTTAGATTATATAACAAGTATATTCAACTATACATACTTTTACATACAATAAAAAGAATTTGTAAAAAAATTAGCAAGTGCAGAGAAGTAACTACAACAACTAGTTTTAGTAAAGTTACTATCATATATAATAGTGAACAGTAGGATTATTTCTGCATGTTTCTTTGTCAGTATCATAACTTATCTTTTATTAGTATACATCTTAAGAAACAATGATGATCATCTCTAGTACATGAGAGGAATGTTTTTTATATTAGTAAGAAGTTGCAGATGTCCAGACCTAAACTCTTGCCATCTTCTCTAGGATCCAGTGGCTAGGTGGTGTTCAAGACCGTTGTTAAAGAATTGGTTAAAATTAATGGTCAAACCATGCTTTAATGCAAGGAATACTTTTCTTGCATTTCATGGCATGTGTATGCCCAACTGGTATGAATTCAGAGTTCTTTTTCTCCTATGTTGGTTGTCACTCAAGATCAAGGAGACTATTTAATTGATGGATTCTTACTTTCTCCAAGGGCATTAATGGAAAGTGAACACAACAAACTTTGCAAAAATTTGAACTTCACTTGGTGATTCCACTTTACACACTGATAAGTCACCTCACCCCCACATTCATAACTTCTGTCACATAATAGCAATATATAAAATTAACAATATTATCCCGATTTGAATCTCCAATCTGGTAGTTGTTTGAATGGCATTGTAAAATTGACTTACAGATACTGAAACTGCATAGATACTATACTGATCTAAGATGGAATACCAGTGTATGACATTTATCCAAAGCAGAGTACACAGATACTGCACTGAGTCTTGGCAAAGCATACAGATACTACATTAATACCATGCAAAGTGCCAATCCAGGCATAAATAATCCTAGATACTAGGTGAATAATAGATATTCAAGGAGGAGATGAGCACTACCCTGTTATCAAGAAAAATCAAAGAAACATTAATAAATTCCTTAAAGGTTAAGTTAATTATTATACTCACCAAAGTCACACAATTTGAGGACATTGTTGGATGTAATCAGCAAGTTTTCTGGCTTAATATCTGAATCAAAACCAAGACAAAAAACAATTTAAAAATATTTGAATAACTTTTAAAATACAAAACAAATGTGTGATAAATTATTTTACTAAATAAGTGTTATAACCTGATTACTTTCAGAAAAAATATAACCATGCACAAAACCATTATATGTATATCATTTACAGTTGTATATAATGTATTTACATACATAAAGCAATATTTGTTTTTTCAGTTATGGTTGTAATCTGTTAATTTCTTGGAGATTTGAAAGCTTGTGTTGTTTATCCTTGAATTTGAAATACCATAAATTATACCAATGTTGTTTAACAAGTCAAATGCATGTGAAGCCTGATTAGCCAATGAAAATCAAACCATACAAGAATAAAAATACCAAGATTTCTTTCTTCTTCTGCCTATCTCATTCATTGATGAAGCTTTAATAAAATTGAAACATGTTAGATTGATAAATGTTTTCTATTTGTTCTATATCCTATCATTCTGTTGGATTCCAATCCATATGCGATCTGTGTTTGATTCCAATTCATAATTAAGGGTACCCAACACTCAAGAGAATGAACTTTTTTTCTAAATAGTAAATTGATATGCCATAATAACAATAATAATAATAATTCATCAAGTGTCATTCAGGTGAAGAAAATATTTTTTGCTACTTCCTTGTGATCCATTCTACAGTCTTCTTTGGGGGAACAATCCATAAAAAAGAGAAAAATATTTTTATCTTATGTTTTATAGTATCAGAAAAGGTAATAAACAGTAAAAAAAATGATAGTAAATATACCAAGTGGTTTAGCTCATTTCCAGCAAGGTGAGTCACACTGACAATTACATCCTGAGCAAACTATATAGTATAGAAAATACATTTATTTTGCTTTTTCTTTTAAAATTGATTTATTTGAAATATGCTATCTTCCTCATGGTAAGAGTGCTCAATAATAGAGCTAGAGAATTTATAAATATAAACAGAAGGAACAGTCACTATGAAATATTGATTCCTCTCTTTATATATATATATATATATATATATATAGCTAAAAACAAAAAAGAAATTGATAATGTTAACAGCACATTTGAAAAAAAAAACTGTCCTTGAATTTACCTATGAACTTTGACAAAGAAATAATATCCCATTCTTAGAGGTTTTCATAGAATTCAGTAGTAACACATTCACAACTTCATTATACAAAAAAAAAAAAAAACTAGCCGAAAATCTTGCCACATTAATTTTATGAGTGAATGTCCACTTAGATATAAAATAGCTGTTATAAAAAATTCTCAAAAAAGCATACAAGAATACATCTTTTCATCCCCTTTTCCTTAAAGAACTCAATAATGTGAATTAATTTTTTTTCTAGCATTATGTATTACTGGCTCCCATATTGTATTCATTTCTATGCTTGGCCAGCATAGGTTTTTGTGGCCTAGTATATGTGCTGATTCCTTAAGTTTTCATATTTTCCAGTGATGTTCTCTATCTATTAATTCAACCTCATCTCACAGGGGGCAGTGATCTTTCTTTTTCCTCTATATGTGATCAGCTACACCTGATTTTTTTATTTCCTCTTGTGTTATGGTTTTCTGATGTACTTGCAGCCTTACCTTAAGGGAGCAACCTGTTTCTCCTTTATATTTCTTACCACAATTGCACAGGATGGCATACACACAGTCCTTAGTCATGTTCTCCTCTCTGGAGGGGGGGGGGTCTTGTTTGGAAGTGTTGAATCACTTTTGAAGGTCATCCTGATGTTATATGGACCATAGATCTTTTGTATTTTTTCTGATAATCCCTTCACATAGGGTAGGCAGGCTGAAACTGTTTTCTGAGTGTTGTTATCCTCTTGTACCCTTCTATCCCAGTTTGTCGGAGCTGCTGCTTTGTACCCAGGGTAGTTGTTACGTTGTATGGTACTGCTTACACTGACCATTTCTTGTTCATACGTCTCTGGGTTGCCACTTATGACTTTTGCTCAATGTTGTAAGCAGTGGACAATCCCTTACACTGTATGGGTGGTGGGAGTTGAAGTTGAGGTATTGTTCAATGAATGTTGGCTTAGAGTATACAGATATCTTGAACCCATTCTCTGTTTGAGATATTAGTACATCCAGAAATGCATGTTTGCTATCGTTTTCTCTCTCCATTGTGAACTGTATTAATGATCCTATTGTGTTCATATGGTCCAGTAGTAGCTGGACCTATTCCTGGTGTAGCCAGAGTATGAAGGGGTCATCAATGTATTTTAGCCATAGGGTTGGATTTAGTGATATGGATTCTAATGCCATTTCTTCAAAGTATTTCATGTATGTTTGCCATTGCTGGTGATAAGCCTTCATCCTGTTGATATATGTCCGATCCCATTCTGAAGTGTGTTGTTTCTGTAGAGAAAGTCAGCATTTCCATCAGGTTATCTATTGGTATACTGGTCTGTTCTTTTAGGGATGTGTCCATGGTCAGTTTTATCCCAGACTGCAGATAGTGCCTGCTCCATGGGTACCTTGGTGAACAAGCTATGTCCAGACTCACAATCTGGTTGGATTGGATGGAGCATCTTTGATTATTCCTACAAAGTGGGCAGAGTTTTGGACATATGAAGGTTACTTTCCTATGAATGGGTCAATTATATCTACAAGGAAGTGACTGAGAGGGTAGCACACAGAGCCTTGGCAGCTAACAATTGACCTGAGCAGAATATCGTCTTTGCAAATTTTGGGGAGACTATATATGTGAGATAGCTTGGTGTAATATTGTGACAACTGCTGGTATGCCTTAGGTGAGAAGTGGTCCTTGTTCTTGATTAGGATCTGCAATAGTTTTCATTCTGTTTTCATTGTTGGATCTTTCTTTACTGTAGCTACCATTACTAATGAGGTCTGGTTACTGCAGTGGTGAACAAAAACGTGGAGAGTTGAGTTAAAGGGAGATAACTTACTCCTCTTTTATATTTTCTATATTTACTCTCTTTTGAAAAATGATCTTAAATTTCTCCATACAAAATTCCTAGATGAACATAGTAAAGATGGCAATCAGTTTAAGGTCAGTTACAAAATGAAGGTTGATTGTCTTGACCAAACAAGAAGAATTAGATAAAGATCAAATTACCTGCAGAGCGAGCAGTGGAATTATTCTGTTGGCATCCTCATAATATTTTATAAATTTTATATATAATAATGTTCTTGAAGGAATTGGGTGATGCAAACAGTCCTATCTAAAAAAAAAAAAACACTCTACAGCCTCTTTATCATAGAAACAGTATTGTAAGCCAGTCACATTTTCTATGTTCTGTGTCTCTTCAGGACATAAGCAATCATGGCTCTCCACAATTCTTTTTCGGCTCACCACTATTCTTTTTTTACTCTCAGCAGTGTTTTCTTTTGAGCTTTTTTTTTTTTTACTAACTCTCCCCAATCTCATCTATTTACACAAGCTAGTTAGGTTTCTTGCTCTTTCTCTCTGTGTCAAATTTTCCAGGCCTCCTTGCCTCATTATCTAACCTTGAAACTTCAAATATTTCTGATTTTAAGTATAATTGCCCTTTTTGTCTTCATTTTCCTTAAAACAACATTGTTGCCAGGGCCAGTGCACAGATCTTGGGCTCCCCACTCTATTACATCTCAATTAAAAAAAATAAAAAATAAAAAAATTAACGAATATTTAATCTAGTAAGGACCTACCATTTCTATGCTCCAAAACACATACGTATATACACATACGTGCACATAAACATATATACATAAAACCTTACACACCTCCATATATTTACATACGCACTCATCTAAACAAATATACAACATATCTATCTATCTATCTATCTATCCATCTAACTATACATATACACATACATACATACACACATATATACAATATATATATATATATATAAACATGTATACATACATACCTAAACATACGTACACATACACACACATATATATATATATATAAACATGTATACATACCTAAACATACGTACA